GTTAACTGACGGTGTACTTTGTTATGAAAGTCACACTTATTTGTAGGGTTAAAACAATGTTGAGTCAAAGATGATGTCGGTTGAGTTAGTTTCCAGTAAAATTCTGGATCAAAATATCTGGATTATTGATAATTTATATGTTCATAAGCTAACATATATAAAGAAATACCATCTATGCGATCAGATACTTAGATAAGACCTTCATTTGACATAGTTTCCTATGTGATTTTCATAATCTCAACTAAGTAGCTAAGCTATGCAGATTTGATTACTTCAGAGCATTAATGACACTTATTATTAAGAAGATGTTCATAGAAACCCTTAACCCTAGGCTCACTAAGAGAGGCACATAAAATACAAGGAATAATGGTACATTGTGGGGTCGAATGAGTGACATCCAATATTTCAGTTATAAGCATATACTTTGAAACAAAAGATTTTTATGTGCAATCATCACTAGGTAATTAGTGTATTATATCTTATTTTATCTTACAAACTATTATCTTTCATTGATTATATAGTCTATGCGTTCTGATATTAATCGACCACATTATCTATGCAAACATAAATTACCAAACTTATGACATTACGTTTCCATAATATTTATAGATAACTCAGAGTTCATAGGTAAATTTAATCGCTGACAGTGAACACATCAACTTGTTCACTTCACCAACAATAGATACATAACCTCCGTTTTTTTTTTCATTTTTTGCACAAGAGTTCTCACATTTCTAATCCTCCAAAATACTGGCTATAGGGCAAACTAATAATCAAAAGTAATATTTTCCATAATATTCCATTTAGTACATGTACATCGAGATAATTCAATAAAGTTGTTTTTCTATTAGATATACAAAGATCCGAATGCAACTTAATCAACCTCATTCTGACTGATGTAATCTAAAATCGAACAAATCAATTGTTTTCACAGTTGGAATCACGGATTGATCTTAGCTAAACTACCACTAGAAACCTGGAAGCACAAGACGGCTGTTTTTTTCTAATACGGGACTCCTCGGTGACGCATATCCATGGCCTCGTACTTGAGAACCGAACCAAGGACCGTCAGTTATTGTATGCATTAAATCAGAGGAATCTAACATAAAGATTCATTCCACTGAAGACAATTGATTAACATGAATGATATTCACTGCATAATTAGTCAACAATTTTTGTGGTGTTGGTGGTTATTTTTCTAATTTGGTCACTTCAGCGTTGATTCGATTTTTTCAATGTCAGAGTGATTTCACAGTTTGTCCAACCATTTGTCTAGTCGTGTTTTGACTAACATTAGTGGTAAAATAATTCAAGGAGGACATGATATATACTTCCTACACCTATTTTTTGATGTATCATTTTAAATGGCAATGGTTAAAATAATCCCTATTCATATGGTTAGCAATCACTCATTCATTTGAGTTTTGTCATGTAGTTCAACTCTTAAGGTTGCATATCTATAAGGAACGGCCACATTAAATTATTGAATTTATGCATGTAATAGATGATTTTACTGGCCAGCCGCAAACTTGCAGATTATTTTTGGTAGGACATTTATTTGAAGATAGAAAGCTAACTACTTACAAACGTTTCAGTAGGCAAAAATGTTCAGGAATATTACTTAAGCCTGTTACTCCTCGTGAAGGAGCATAGGCCGCTCACCAGCATTCGCCATCCAACCCTGTCCTGGGCAATCCTTTACAGCTCTTTCCAGTTGTTATTCATCTTTTTCATGTCTGCTTCTATTTCTCTACTTAATGCCTTGTCTGACTTCGGTCCTTACTTGGAATGCGTCTGTCAGCTGTCCTGCATACACGACCTTGCACTGTAGTCCGTCATATGAGTTCCGGATAATATTGACAATCTTCTCAGGAACTCCGTAGTGTCGAAGAAGTTTCCATAGAGTTCTCCTATCTACACTGTCAAATGTCTTTTCATAATCAATGAAGTTGATGTACAGTGACGAGTTCTACTCAATTGATTGTTCGACGATGATCCGTAGTATCGCAATTTGGTCTGTGCATGACCGATCCTTACGGGATCCAGTTTGTTGATCTCGAAGTTGGATGTCTACTGCGTCTTTCATCCGGTTCAGCAACACTTTGTTAAAAACTCTCCCTGGTGCTGACAGTAGTGTAACGCCTCTGTAGTCTTCACATTTACTCAGATATCCTTTCTTTGAAATATTGATGTGTCCTTCTTTCCAGTCCATCGGCACTTATTCCTCCTCCCAAATCTTCTTGAATAGAAAGTAAAGCATGTTTGTAGTTAACTCGATGTCTGACTTCAGTGCTTCAGCTGGTCTGTTGTCGGGTCCTGGTGCTTTCCCGCTCTTGATTTGTCTGATGGCCATTTCGATTTCTTCGGTCGTTGGTGGATTGACATATATAGGAAGATCTGTGTGTGCTGCTTCGATGTCCGATGAATTCATTGAAGCCAGCATATTCAGGATTTCCTCGAAGTACTCTACCCACTTGTTCCACTGTTGTTGAATTTCAGCGATTGACCTGCCTTCATTGTCCTTGACCGGTCTCTCTGGTTCACTATATTTACCTGCTAGTTTCTTCGTTGTATAGTAAAGCTGTTTCATATTTCCTTCTCCTGCAGCTTTTTCCGCCGTCGTTGCTAGTTCTTCAACATATTTCTGCTAGTCGGCTCTAATGCTCTTCTTCACTTGCTTGTTTGCTTCTATGTACTCAGCTTGTGCTTGGACTTTCTCTGCTCGTGTTCGGTTGTTGTTGATTGCTATCTTCTTGCTTAACCTTTCTTTGATCCTGTCCAGTGTTTCTATAGAGATCCATTCCTTATGATGATGCTTCTTGAGACCCAGAACCTCCCAACACGTTGAAGTTAGTACTTCTCTGATCCCTTTCCAATTGTTTTCCATAGTAGTTTCCTCTTCTCCCAGTAGATCTTGTAAGGCTTAGAACCTGTTGTTGAGAGATATCTTGAATTCGTTGGGTTTGTCAGTATCTGAAAGAAAGACTGTTTCGAAACTTTGTAATGTTGTTTCCCCAGTTGTTCATTACTTCTTTAGCTTCAGTTTCATCTTGGCAATCACCAGTTGGTGGTGATCTGAAGTCATGTCAGCTCCTCTCCTGATTCTCGCATCTTTCGCTGACCTGACCTTCTGAATTTTGTAGTGATACAGATATGATTGGTCTGTTTTTCTGTAGTGTAATCCTGTGGGACCCATGTAGCTTTGTGTATGCGTTTGTGAAGGAATATTGTGCCGTCTATAACGATTTCGTTGAATACATATAAGTTTGCAAATCTGTCACTAATCTAGTTCCTTTCTCCCAGTCTATTTCGTCCCACAATACCTTCATACCCGGCGTTGTCCGTTCCGACTTTGAGGTTTAGGTCTCCCATAAGGATAGTCAGGTCCTTTCTTGAGCACCTCGCTATGATCGGTTGCAGCCTCTCGTAAAACTGATCTTTGTCGTCTTCATTGTTAGGATTGGTAGGTGAATAATATTGGATAACATTCATTGTGATTCCCTTCTTCTTTGTTTCGATTGATGTTTTGATGATTCTGGATCCATGAGATTCCCATCCTATAAGTACATTTAGTGCTTCTTTGGACAACATCAGAGCAACTCACTAAGTTTGTAAAGCACTTTCTTCTTTGTGACTCTAGTAAAACAGCATCTCTCTCGAATTTATCCTTTTCTGTCCAGCTTGGGCTCAATGGGTTTTACTTATTCCAAGAACCGCCAAGTTGTATCTCCTCATTTCCGTTGCCATTTAGCTGGTCCTCTCGGTCTTCCACATTGTCCGGATGTTCCATGTACCTATAAAAATTGTTTCTCTGGTTGTTAGAAGGGGCATCGGCCTCGTGGCTTCCGAAGGAGCTCGGCTTTCACCATGAGGCGTCATATTTCTTCTAAATGAAGACCTTATAACTCCCAGGGCAGAGTTTAAATGGTTTGAGTTATTTTTTCTGGTTAGCGTTTTTTATAGAGTTAGTTTTTTACGGGATGGGGTCGCTAACCCCATGTCCAACCCTCCTTCTTTACCCGGACTTGGGACCGGCAGTAGCTCTAGAAGAGCTACAGGCGGAGTAATCAGGAATATTAGATAAACTAACTTACCAATAATGAACAAAGGCGACAGTGTCCATTTAAGCGATCTGTACATAACGGGCTACTTAAATGATTATTATTAAGTTCTTGAAAAAGAAAACATTCGCACAATTTATTCTAAAATGAATGTTTCGATCGTGACTTCATGTTCAAAATATACGGTATGCTAAGTGCGCAGACATCCGATTAATTTCCAAAATTTAGGCTGGTTACTTTCTCCTGAAATTTATATAGATTTATAGGGACAGTAAATTCTAGGTGAAAGTACAAACTTTAAGAAGCAAATAAACCGGATATCGTAATTTAGATAACGGACAGATCTTAGATTCAAAGTTACACAAACAAAGGACTAAATAATTCCAGTCAATGAGCCTTTATCAGGACTTAATATGGACATGAAATTCCAACTAATGAAACATCTTGGCTAATTCACTTGCTAGATATTTTCAATTCATCACATTATGCGCCGATATGGAGTGGTAAGTTTTCAGGACCAAGCTATCTATAGTTATGAAACAAAATACCTTTCTTAAGCTTGAAGAAATATTCACTTAGTTCATTTTTTCAAGGAAGAGAAGTTATCTTCAGGGCGGATTTAAAACCCAACCTTAATATGAATGAAGAAGTACCATTTGGAACATTAGTCATTGTCATTCTAATAATATTATTAAGAATAGAACCTAGTGTTTTCTTTTCAATGATTTTCTTGAAAAATAACTTCAAGAGTAATTGACAGAATAAACCGTGAAAAATAGAATGAATATCATCTGATTAAATTTTGAATTAAAAGGAATTGTTTGAAATATTGACAAAGTAACATGATTCCAAATTCCTAGGGAATATTTGTTTAATAAAAATCGTGAATGGAGAAGGTAACCAAATTGTTTATTGATCGATTGGTTATTTTTAAATTGATTAAACTTGTAATAGTAAGGCGACACCACCTAAAATCCAACGTGATGGTTTTTCTTTAGTTTTCAGATTAAATGTCCATACATAAGTAGGCCCACGTTGTTTTGTTTTATATACTGGACAAGCATATGTATTTCGTAAATCTTGTCTATCAACAGGTATAGCTTTTAAAAAGATCACTGGTAGACTTGGTGCTAATTCTTTCAGTCGAGCTTCAGCTATCATATTAGTTTGTATATCCCATCTAGCACCTTCCATAAACAGACCATATATATAGGCACCTTCTCTTGGTGGTGCACTCATTTCATCTTTTGTCTTTTTAGTTACATCACATTGAAGTACCATACGATCTAATGGCCATTCATTTTTTCTTGCTGTCTGTTGCATAATAGCTGTTAAAAACGATTGCGGATTAAATAATCCACCTAGCCAAACAGTATTAGGTAAAGAAAAATCATTTGTCCAAACTTCTAATTCTTTGACTCTAGACAGCATATCAGCATACCAGATGCCAAGGGGATACATACTTGGATAAGCTCGTTTCTCCCATTGAGCCGGTACATTATCTATAATAAGTGAATTAGCTAACTCTTCCATTTCTGGTGTTGTAGTCAATTCACCTTTTAAACCAAGTGTTAGTTCCTTTAATGATCTACGCATTTCTTTTATTAAAATATTAAAACGTTCACATTCTTGAAAAGCAACTACAACATATGGTGTACGTTCTTCCGGTGGAACTTTACTTTGCAATTCTAACATATTAAAATCTTCCGGTAATTTTTCAATAATTTCATCGAGAACATTTTGTAGTTTCTCCTCTCTACTTATTCCTGTACCGCTACCAGCGCCAGCATCACGTGGTTGCATTTCAAAAATAGTACGAAACAGTTTTTCTGATGTATTTGTTAGGAATTCCATCTCAGCATTTGGATGTAAACCATACAGGTACGGTGATTCTGGTGGTAAAAGTTCATCAATATACTGATGATAACCTTTATAATCTGTATTTTGTGGTGTTTTAAAGTTTGGTGCTAAACAATGATCACCATCTAACATTTCCGGCACTAAATATTCTTCTAAATATGTTTTACATAAACGACGATCCCAATCATCTGTAATATGCCCACCATACATGATATCACCGAACAAATATCTTAAATCTTCCCATGGTACTTTGCTATTTGCTTCTAAATAATTATATAATACACTGACACTGATAGTTAAATCACCTGTATTAAATGGATATATACGATTCCAACCTTGTGGACCAAATTTACGTCTTTCACAAACAACAGCATGAAAATAACATAGACCAAATAGAATTGTTTTAAATTCATTCTCACGACTACACATTTCAAGTGTATCTTGATTGAAATTATTTAACGCTTTGTGTAAATTAGCATGCATACCAGTTGGTGGTTCATTTGTGATTTTGATAGCATTCTCTAATATACCTTGTGGTATAATATGATATTCTGGATCAGCGGCTGGTTCAGCACTGACAAATAATCTATAATTTGCATGTCCCTTTTCAGCAGCTTCTTCCATTAATTTCTCTAACGTTGGCAACCATTTAGCAACTAAGTGAACATTTTGTAATACGACCCAGTGGCCTTCTTTTGAAGCCAACTCCATAGCTTTTGATGCTACAACCTCTTGGCCTTGACCTAAAGAAACATTGTGAAAATTTTGATTATCTCCAGTAAAACCAAGTTTACGACCAAGTGCTTCAACCTCTTTCAATGGATCGACACCAGGAGACAATATAAAGAAAATTGGTATAGATGGGCCAGATTCTTCAAATGATTTGACAAATGATAGACCACCACCTTCGGTATACTTTTGACCTAGTTTTTGTCCAACAAAATCAGTTATAGCATAGGTCATACGATCTGGTCGTAAAGCACGGAATATGCACAATATTTGTAATGGTGTTTTACTTTTCCATTCTTGTGGTAGTTTCTCTTTTTCTGGTGCTTCACCTTCAACTAATTTTTTCCAGCGTTTAGCTGAACCTTCAATATCTTTATCCAAATTACGAAATGCTTCCATATTGATAATGCTTTAATCCCACCCCAACCATTATTTGTAATAAAGTCAACTGGGGATGTTAAATTCGGTATAATTGGGAATCTTAGTAAAAAGTCTAATTCTACTGGATCGATTTCATTGGATACTGATAATATTTGAAATGTCATTTGTGCAGTAAATATTAATTTATCTTTTTCAAATAGGCCTCTTGATGTATACATATAAACAGAATAAGTAATTGAATCAAGTAAATTTTTAACCCGTGTTTGTATATCTTCAGATGCTTCCGATCTATCCATAGCCACTTCAAATACACTGCGAAACGCTTTCAATGAAAATTGATACATTGGATTAATTTTATTTAAATCATTCAATATAAAATATAATAATGATGCACGACATGCTGCTGGACGGTATAATTCACGTGCTTCATTAATTTGAACTTCAGTAATTTTAGCTTGTGCAACTTTTTCCACAATTTCTATAGCTGTGCGTTTATTTGTTTCTAAGTTTTCAACTAGTGCATAGTCTCCAAGAAAATTACCTTCCGCCGCTGATAATCTGGCCAATAAACTATCTTCTAATTGTTTTAATGTAATTTTAAATTGATTTTGTTGTCGTGTTAAATCAGCTTTTAAGTGTTCCAAATCTGGACGTTCTTTACTGACAACACTAGCTAATAATTGGTCTTCTAAACCGTCACGTGTTACAGTAAAATTAATTAGTGTAGTTTGTGCTTGCATTTCTGGTTTATAATGCGGATTAGCTAATTTTGTTTGTAAAATTAAACGAAATTCTGGACTGTATTCAATTTCTTTATCACCAAGACGGATTGCTCTACCTTTTTTAATTGTTTTTCTACCCAATAACGAATCTAACACAGGATCGACAGACTCTTCAATATTTTCTAATAAAACTGTATCACCAGACGATATGGCACGTTCAATTTGGTCTAAATAACCTTTTGAACCTAGGCGTATTACCTTTAAATCCTTCGCATAACGTGTTTTAATCCATTTTACACCTTGTAATTGTGGATCAATCATCAATGGCCAACGTTCAGCATTAGTTAAAATAGTAGCATTTTCAATAGACATTCTATCAGACGGTAGACCTTCATTATTCCATGCAGCTATAACTGCATCATCAATTAACATATCTAATGGATCTAAACCATCTGTAATCGGTATTGATGGATTAATTGATTTTAAAAACGGTATCCAATGTTGATCAAGTAGTTCAGTACGATAACGTTTTGTAAAACAGCCAACATAAGATAAAAATGCTGCAGTTAATAAAATATCACCAGGTAATGTAATGGCCTGTTCCTTATATTGTTTCACTTGTTGTGCCCAACGTATTTTCTCTGATGCTAAACCACCAACTAAACGGTTAGCTAATTCAATTGTTTATATGTTAATTCTGCTTCATCTTGACATTTTTGTTTTTCCATGGTAGCTGTTTCGAATTCATCTGTTAATTTTTTAATTTTTCTTCCAGATCTTTAATCTTTTTCTGAATAGTTTCTAATTTTTCAGTTGCTTGACGTAATTCTTCATTCGCTGTATTTAATGCATCACGTTTTGGTTTTACATCACAATAAATATTATAAATTGTACAATATTAATAACCCATGAACATAGACCAGCCGCTGCTGTTGATTTATTACGAATAAATTCAGGATCGAATTCAGGATCTTTTAAATATTCTTGCACAGCTTTTAAACAATTCTCATGAATATTTTCTTTGTCATAATTAATTAAATTATCTAAAAATAAATCAACTTTACTCATTATACCGGCTTTTGAAGCTTTCCAACTACGATCTTTTGGTATTTTACCATCTGGTGCTAACAAAACCATAACAGCTGCTGTCACATTAATTACGGCCGCTGGCGGTGAACCAAATGATTTCATTTCAGTTAAATTATTTTATTTAATGTGTTCAATGCTTCTTGTGCTGCTAATAATGCTGGTTCAGCTTTAGCTAAATCAACTTCACAATCTTTTTGTTTTTTTGATACTTCAATTTAATTTTAGCAACTTTTTCTTCTTCTTGATTTGCAAATAATTTTTCACCTTTAACTTTTTCAGTTTCTGCGCCAACAATTGTTAATAATTTATTAGCATCTTCATTTTTCTGTGCTAATTCCACTTCCTGCGCTGCTAATTTTGCTTTTAAATCATCCACTTGCTGTGAAGTACTTTCTAGTTTTTGTAAACCATTTTCTAAGCGTGTCATTTTATTAACTAAATCAGTATATTTTTGATTTAACATATTTTCATATAGTTGTATCTGTTCTAAGAATGATTTTGGTGTTGTATAATTGTAACGACGTTCATTCTGTAAATAAGTAATACTTATATCATTAACTGATTGATGTGTAAATGACATGAATTCTGCAACAGATGGTCGAATATTTTCCGGTAGTAATTCTATACTACTTAAAAATCGTTTTGATACTGATAATAAGGCTTCTTTAGGCCATTCATGAAACCAGTCAATTGAAGTACAGTTAACAATAGCTGGAAATTTTCTCGCTCTAACACGTAATGTTGCACCAACTGGTGAAAAGCACAACACCACTTTTAACAAACGACGTACTTTATCAATGAAATAACTCCAACAATTTTCACGTGTATCTTGTATACCTTGCGATTTAACTTCTCCACGCATCCCATTAATTACATTTTCGACTTCATCATCAGGCAATAATTCTGGTATATCACCGGATGCTAATAAATCGTTGATAAGTACCAAAAATTTCTCTTCAGTAATTTGACTGTCGGTTAATAAGAAAACAGTACCAGTATTTTTTAATCCAGCTTTTAAATAAAGATTAGCTAGATCAGCTTTCAAATCAGTAATTGCATAACCTTTACGTAATGTAATTTGAAACACTTCTAATGAACTAATAAATGCAGCTAGTCTTGATAAAGATTGTTTACCGGAACCCCCGACACCAATTAATAATGCATTACCACGTGGTGATTCTAATATACGACTAATACGTAATATATGCGAAATAGCATCTTCAAATAAAACTAAATTCATTACAGCATTTAATTCATTATAATTGTCCAATGCTTCATTTAATAATTTATTTAAATCATTCATATTAGTTACTGGTAAATATTTTGGTTCACCAATACCTTGTGTGAAATGACAATACATATTGGCTTACTAAATAGTATACTTTCATCGATATCTTCAAAACATTTTTTAGTGATATCTATTAAAATTTTCTGAAACGACTCAACATCTTCACGTTCAATTAGTTTATCCGAGTAAACTCGTTCACATTCATGCATCCACAAACGTATTAGATCACTCGGCTGACGAATACATTCATTAGTTGAAAATAATAAACCCTGTATAATATAACGAAAAGAAAGAATTAAACCATACAAGTAAAGAAAACTGTAGTACATATTGTATAATGGCCCATTTTATAGAAGATGGTTGCACGATATCTTGAATAAACTGAAGTTAGACATGTACACTTATGGACTTAGCTTAGTGGTCTAAAAGTTGAATACTCAAGGAGACGCTGGAGTTCCTAAGTTAGATCACCGGTGAAATCGTGGGTGTGCACTACAGAGAAGTCCCATACTAGGATGAAGCAGCTGTTCAGTGCTTCCTGGTTTTAAATAATTCTTTAGCTAGGACCAGTTCGAAATTCAATCTATAAAAATATAACTGAGGTAATTACATTGAAAGCCACAGAGAGCAAGGAAACTGTTTTGTCCAGTTTTGATACTCCATAGCAGTGTACACGCGTGATAAGTTGTGTTATGATATTAAAAAACTTTATATTTTATCCTTACTTGGTACTTTTCACCAACTATCTACCATTTTACTACCGTATATCTAGTTAGCTTTTCTCAATTCACTTCCTTTCTATTTAATTTAAATATCTTTCTACTTTCATTAATTTTTACTTTTTGTGACATAATCCAACACGAAATTTTGGAGTAATTTACTTTTTTTGTAAAATTCTGCACGGTTGTGTTTGTCATCCGGATCACCAAAAAGATTTAAATTCAGAAGAAATCAGTAGATTTCTTCAGTGTGCCTCATCTACTGACAAAGACTGATCAATATTCGGTTTCGAATATTAAAAATGAAGAAATAAAAATTTTTGCGATGAATGTTAAATAATCTCAGTTCATTTTAGTAAAGTTAGATTGTAGCTAGCAGTAGAATTCAGTACATGCGATTCATTCTATTTGAGACTCATAAGCTGAATAAACCTACATTCTAGGGTTAGGTTTTCCACTGAGACTCAACCCAGTACTTTTCTCTTGAAGTACTATAACGTTTTCCAATGAGCTGTCGTGTTCTAACTTGTTCAACGAGTATGAACTTATTTGTAGGAGTTTGGATTTTTCACATCATTGATATTATGAACTTTAATTCATCAGTTTGTATTGGCATATGAGCACCATGATAAAAATTACTTTGATATTGTCATTTAGTCAAAATTCTTGGAAAAGGTGGATCTTAATGATAGAAAAAAGTCACCTGATTAAAAACTTACTTGAAATATATTGGATAAATCACGCAAATTAAATATATAATGAAATTTGATTGCAGTTGGTAAAAATACACTAGCCACTTTAGCATGTAATAATAATGCACAGTCAACAACATTTACGGCGAACTTTTGTAAAGCTGTGGAACAATTAATTAATCCCAAATGTTGTGTTAGTATAGATGAATAGATTATTTTCAATGCTTCTTGACCAGGAAAACTTAATCCAAATACACAAAAATGCCTCTGAATGGGAGAAAATTAAAATACAAAAATATATTATGTGAACAAATTTTGTGTTTCTAGAAATGGACAGAATATTTATGATTTTCATGAGCAGAGCTTCTATGAAATAATGTCGACAACAACCACAGAGAATCTCAAAGCTAAGCTGAGATAACCATTTAGAGATGAGTTTTTCAGTGATACTTCAGACAATATGAGTTTATAATGACAAGAAGTCGAAAACCGAACTAATCGCTATAAATTGCATTCCGTAATAACAACAAAATAGTGTATTTATTTCAAAATAAACCATTTGACCTAAAATTATCTAACCCGATAAACAGAAATGAATCTAGGAGTTAATAATGGTTAAATAATTTCGATATTCATATTCAATACAAAAATTAGAGTGAGATAAAAACCAGAGTCCCAATCAAACAAACAACAGTAGCTTTCAAGATTATCCTTTGTCTAATACGCTATCAAAGATATGGAAATTGAGTGATTATCATTTCATAATGTATTGGAATCATTCGATATAGGTGTTGATTCTACAAGTACTATGTACTTAAAAAATATGGATGTAAGTGTGCTATATATTGTTTAGTTTCGTTATCAAAATTTACAAAAAATGATTCAATGGATACATTTTTCATTTAAAAAAGTCTTTATTGTATAATAGTAAACTGAAGGTTTTCAGCATATTAATCCATATAAATCTGGACACAAAGTAGTTCGGAGACATGATTTTATGATGCGTGAACGAGAAACTAAGTAGGACAATGCTACTTTGCTTCATTTGAATGTTTTTTTTTCACCATAAATTGATGTTAGCTGAGGGACTGTTGAAATCTAAGGGACAGTGGACACCGATATGGTCTGGTCTGGAAATTTTTCAACATGGTATTTACTGATTCTTATCCTAGTTTGAACTTAAAACTTGTATCATTTAGCTAAATCTACCAAATTCGGTCGATTTTTTGTTATAATGGGTATCTATCTTCACTACAGTAATTGATGGCTCGAATACTTATGAATCTCCGTGTTATGACTATATATTATTTCACTAAATCATTAAAATTGAAAAGTTTGCTAGATAACAAACACCTTACAGAGTCAGAGGATATAAATGGTAGTGATGTACCACGTCATCGACTTTACTCACTAACTTTAACCATTAGTTTATTTCTTCGGATAAACTTGGAAATCAGAAATCTCAGTTGTATATCTCCTTAATAAGCGAGTCATTTTTACTTCTCACTTTACAACTTTAATATAAACCTATTCATCTTCAAAAATCTGGTGATTCAATGATGGTTAAATTTAACCGTTTACTGCAAGAAAAATTAGAAAATTTAAGTTCTCGTAGTGTTAAAATAAACGGATATAAAACAAATTATTTTTATTTTAATTTATTCTCACTTTTCCTATTTTAGTCAGTTAGTCATAGGCAGTGTAAGACCTTACAAGAATATGTATCGGTTCAAATTTTCACATCAACACACCATTTGATTGTATAATATTAACTCAGTCAGTATTCCATGCAAGTATATTGTAGATATAAACAGGTTTCGAGTAAATAACTAAATTTACTTTTTTTCCATCATAATCAGCTGATAATAATAGTGCATATGATAATTTGACTAGTTCAAGTCCAACTGTAACAGCATCAAATGATATATTATGACAATATCTATTTATAAACTTTCATATGTTTTCTTATCAATATTTAGAAAGATTCTTCGCTTACCCCACAAACTCTCAATTCTATTATATTTTCAGAATATTTTACATTTGTTATTGCAAAGCTGTAGTGTACTTTTATTTTACATATCTTTATGAATTCAATGCGAAATCTTTGCCTACAATTGTTATTTACTGAGCCGTGTGGCTAGATGAAGGCTATCTGGTTGGGATCTGCTAGATAACCGTGATCAGTGATTGGAGAATTCGGGTGACACGGATCAGGTGCATTGATCTTTTATCTTCCTCTTTAAATTGAATTTCAGCATTCCTTCATGAATAACTTTTTACCCAGTATTCAGAACCATATTCTCAATGTTTATTTTTCTGCATTATCATTGCAATCATATTATTTAGACCTTGTTATTTCTATCTCGTTGAGCTAATGCAGTATGGCAACTTGGACCAAGGTAAACGTGCTCTAGGTTCGACGTTGATGAAGACTGATTAGTTGATTTACTGACGTTCAAGTGAATGAGATGAAAACTTTTTAAAACTATACACAATATAATCACCTAAACTTCCATGTGAGTCAGTCTATGACTATAAAATGCACTTGAGTCATTCATACTATAAAATTCTTCATTGTTCAACCAGTCAAAAGCTAATTATGATCACATGATTTTGCCTTATATTATAATACTGGTGACGGTAAATTTTATTTTCCAAAATATTAGTTTTAATAGATAAACAAATAGATCGTTACCATAACATTTTATTCAGAGAACAGTGAAAAATATTGGTGTACTTGAGATAAATATCACTGTTAAATCGCATTGTGATTACAGATTCTAGTGTATTTCTGAAGAAGACTATGGAAGTTGGAACTCCCAATTCATAAATCAGTCGATGAATTTTCAGTCATCATAACAGAAAACTCAGATCGAATCAATAAGCTATCCATTGTTTCAAATTCACATTGAGTACCAACAGAATGCTCAGTACATTTATTGATTTCAGGTTCCAAAAACTCTGAAACTTTTTAAAAATCCCGAATGAACTCATAACTCAATAGCTTACTAGTTCTTTAATACCTAAAAATAAAATAAGATCATGTGAACTACTGATGTTGTCAGCTGCTAAGTAAAGACTGAATGTTCGATGGTTATAGTGTCATCGGTCAAATTATATGATATATTTGGGCAAAAGAGGAATATTCCATACGATTTTCTGTTCATTTAAAAAAATTATGCAACCGCAAAAGTATATCTCAATTGTTATATCACTACTAATACTTCAATATACAGAAGTGCTTGGATGATTCAGTGTAACAAACAAATAAAAAGTCCCGGATGACAAAATGTTTGCTGATTTCAACAAGGGAGAATACTACAGATTAAATCATACACAAAATTCTGTCGGCGAAATCTTTCGAAGAAATTGATCTTCGTCGGCTAGAAGATTCTTTATTTTACCAGCCAATTTTAAGTTCAACGACCTTAACCACGTATGATGTAACACATAACTATGAGGTGCATGTATTAACTAATGTTGAAAGTTATCATATGGCATTCTTAACTCCCATCACTGTTAATCTGTCATTGTGCCACATAAATTTGGGGTGCTTACACGATTTGTCATTAATTGATTCAGTCACTTAAGTGATTACCAAGGATTGTTGTCAAAGAAGTACTTCACTTTCCAGCTTCATTCAATACTTGAGAAGTTAGTGAAATATCATACCGAATTACAACACAGTTTTTTCAACAACAAAAAAAGGAGTCTTTCTACCTACTTGTAATCTTGGATCAATGGTAAAACTACCGGATGTGGGGTTCATGCACGCCACATATTGAGTATTATTGATTTCCTTCAATGTCAACTTTGTTCTATCATACCAGTGTGAATGATCAATATGTTGTCTTATTAAACAATGTGGTTGTACTGTAAAATAAGTATCAACTTCCGGCATATTTAAATCATCAATAAAATAGATTAAACGTTTGTTACCAGGTGGACCATAATTTCGACCAGCTTTTTTCTCTAATGGTTTCTCTAAAACACGTTGAAGCATTTCACTTGTTGTATAAAAATTAAATGGTACATTCGTAATCATAATATCTTCGTTAAAACTGGAGAATGTATCTTGTACAAGTACTGTTTTACCAGTGCCTGCATTACCAACTAACATAACAGGACGTTTACGTTGTAGTAGTAAATCTAAAAAGTAACGTAAACGAGTTGTTTCCGTTGTCGGTACCAACATGGCCTAGAAGTAAATAAGAACACCAATAAGTTTTATCGAATCCATCAGTTTGTTTGACATTATATGATGAAGACAAAATCGCACAACCATTCAAAACGCTCAATGATCAGATTAAGTTAAATCTACTGAGCTTTTTCAGTGAACTCTCACCAGATTCCACACTTAAATTAATAGTTTAAAAGAATAACCAGATTTAAAGTATATAGATTGTCTAAAATTATTCCATAAACTCAGGTTATAACTTTCCAACAAAGTTTGCCAAAGGGTTTATTCTGAAGAGATTGTCCATTAATATCCCGTCTTTTTATGTTCGCTCGTTAATAATTAAGGTTTATTTACTTACATAGTTGGGTATTCGAGTCCGTTGAACCGGCTGAGAAAATTTTCTGTGATCAAATAGGTTTAAAATACAAGACTACAAATCAAACCATGCTTTCAGAACTACCTAAGCCCCATCGGATTAAATTAATTTGATTGGAAAAAGGGAAGGTAGGAGGTAAACAGTGGTCATCTCATTGGCTTGGCTCGAGAAGAGAGGAAATGAGATAAAGTTCGTACAAGCGAATCAGATTAGTACTTCCGAAAAGTCTAAAATTGAGGAAATTTAAGTCGATTCCCCACCACCCTCCCTTTAGGAAGTATGTTAGCCATAAATGAAATTGTAAGATCAGAATAAACATTAATAACGGAGTGAGAGAAATGATAACAACTACAAGTCAAACCGAGACTCCGGTGAAAAATTACATAGGGTAGGGGGTGATATGATTCCGGTGGGAAATAAAAAGGTAGGGGGAGTGGCAACTAGATTATTCATGGGTCTGGAGGATTAATAAATGATGACATCACAAAGGTATGTGTTTAATGGTAATAACAATGACGGTAATGCTTGAGTATGATTAATTTTAAGCTAGGAATATACAAAAGGGAGGGTTGTATCTACATTATTCAAATAGGCTTATTCTATAGTTAAGATTACTATCGATTTATAGGCCATAAGGTTGGCCAAAGTAAGAGAAGGAGTTGAATATATTTCTTTTGAACACGACTCCAGTTGTGACGATTGGTGATCATAAGCGTAAAAACAGGCCACTAAAACAAACTCGGGAACTTATGAATAAAGTTGATAAATAAACCTATGCGATGTACTATAACTTACTTGTAGTGGAAGTTCCGGGTCTAATTCAAACACTGGTAATTTCTTCGACCATAGTTCAAATTTCTTACTCACAGGATCGATGAAATAATCAAATACAATACCATTTGTTGGAAATTTGACACTTTTAAATTCAGTTACCCACCATTTACTAAATTCCACACGATGATCAACTAACTGATCTTGAAATAGTGATCCACCGAATGCCCAAACAGCACAAAATACAAAGTATAATTCATATAATTCCTTCGGACAATCTGGTGGTGTAGTTTCTGGTGTTAAATGACAATCAAGTAAGTAGCATAACATTTGTACATGAGCAATTTCAGTAATTGGTGTAATTTTTTTAAAACGTGAACGTAATACTTCTAAACACGGTGGGACATATTTATCAAAAAGAATTTGTAAATTAGCCTGTTCCGATTGTAGTTCACGTGCAGCTAACCAACTGGATATAAATGGAGTTGTACCAAGATCCTATAAATCGACAGCAGAAAACAATAAAGAATTGAACTTATCATTGGAGAATGTTTTCTTCAGATAATTGTTGGGTCATCAGCTGTTCGATATTGGATAATGATGATGATAATTATGCTTAGGTCTCATAAACGGTCAAACTTATCAAAGGTCATCTCAAACTATTGAACTTTGCTTCTCTTATTGTCATCCAAAAGTTTAAATCAAATATATATTAAAAAGTATACCACTTTCAATCAATCATTACTTTCATGATTTCAGTATTCAATGGTTTTGCTAAGTTAATATTTCATCCCTTGAGATTATTTTTATTACTCTTAACAATATTTAGTTTTTCGTTCTTACTGTTACTTTTCTGTTGAATTTAAAATAGTCTATGAAATTAATTTCCCAATTATACCTACTCATTGTCTTTATGTGCTTTGTCTCTGTAGAATATTTACTGACGTCGTAGATGTAATGAAATTTTGATTTTTTTTTATTACCGTTGATTATTCAACACTTATGTCATTATCAGAAGGGGTTTTGTGGAGATTTTAGAAATTTCACTGATTGAAATCATAAGTCAATCGAAGCTAGACCACCATGGAAAACCTGGAAGCACTGGACGGCCGTCTCGTCCTAGTATGGGACTCCTCAGCAGTGCGCACTCACGATCCCGCCCCCGCGAGATTCAAACCCAGGACCTTTCAGTCTCGCACCAGGTGCTTAACATTAACATTAACACCGTTGGATGCCGGCTCAGTGGTCTAGTTGGTTAAGCGCCTGGCGCGAGACTGGTAGGTCCTAGGTTCGAATCTCGCGGGGGGAGGGATCGTGGTTGCGCACTGCTGAGGAGTCCCATACTAGGACGAGACGGCCGTCCAGTGCTTCCAGGTTTTCCATGGTGGTCTAGCTTCGATTGACCCATGATTTCAATCAGTGAAACTTATGTTATTGTCTACCATGATTTGTACGTTTTCGAAAAAAGTAATCCAAGTTTTGGTATATTTTTTCCTTAATAACCAACATTAATGCTTTAGGTTGTAAACCTTTAAGGAGAATATTGTGATATAAACAAAAGACTCTACTATAATTGTAACTGTCACTGTTGTTTCAACAGTAAGAAGTTGTTGTGTTTCTTTTGATAGGTCAAGTATGAAAATAATTCATGCGAAGAGATTTCAAGTAGAAATGAAAAATTCTAATTGACTAATATACATCACTCAAAAGCTATTGGGAAAAAGATTTATTACAGTCTAATAGATAAAATGTTTATGAATAGATAAGAAAAATTAAATATTAACATCAATTTAAAAATTACTTGTGGATTGATGTATAAAATTCCAGCCCGTGAAACAGTAGCAGGAGTAGCTGTTTTCAAATGACTTATTTCAAATAACAAACGCATTGTAGGTGTTAATGGAATACGCTCATTACTCGACAATGTTAAAACTTTATTATCATCCATCACTGTATTTAATGATTCAATCCACATTGGGTCGATATCACCATCGAGTACAATCCATTTAGGTCCATCATGTGTTAAATTAGCTAAATCTCTCATAATCACAGAGAATAAACCATCTTTCCATTCACGTGTAGCTGGATTGATAATACCGAACAGTTCATCATTTGTAACAGCTTTTGGATCTAAATCAACAGCTACTGGTTTCTTTTTCATGTTCAAATTTGTACGATATAATGTTTTCCATACCATAGATTTACCTGTACCAGCATTTCCTAATACAAATACTGAATGTCTTACAGCGAATAACTCTTGCAGTTGTATAGCTTTCAATATAAAACTATCTTCAGCTTGTAATTTCAAATCAATTGCAGCTTGTTTAACTTGTTTTTCAAGTTCTAAATCACGTTTTCTAGGTACATCTAACGCTGGGAATAAATCACCAATTAAACCCATAAATACAGGTAAATCATCAGTGACGATTTTAGGTATATTAAAATCACGTAATGCACGCATAAGTACTTGATCTTCTGGTCGACCGGGATCACTACGTTTCAGTGCACCAGCCACAACTAATACAGATTTAATAGCTCTTAAACCCCAATCATAATGGTCTTGTTTCGACAATAATTCTTTGCATAATTTATATAAGGTTAAAAATTTCCTAGCCAACAATCTAGCATCGGTAAAACCTTCGGCAACTAACATAATTTCACAAATTAATTCAAAATCTGGCACAACCATAGCACATGGACGAAACAAAGCTTTTAAATTCTCCGGTAATTCAGCACGTCCAGCGTAACCAGGATTCATCGTGATAAACAAACCAACTGCTGGATCTAAACTAATCTCTTCACCAAGAAAGTTAAATCGTTTCTTTTTATCTCTTATTGCATCTTGTATACATTTCACTTGTACGGCGACAACAGATAAAACTTCCACTGAAATACGATTGAATTCATCAAAACAACCCCATGCACCAGATTGAGCTAAACCTTTATAAATGTTACCAATGGACTTATAATCCATTTGTTCTGAACAATTAAATACATACACCATAATACCTAATGCACGACCTAAATCTTTTGTTGTTTCTGTTTTACCTGTGCCAGCTGGACCAGCTGGTGCACCACTCATTGTTAAATGTAATGATTGTGTTAATGTAATATAACAACGATCTGTTAATGGTGTTATTACTAATCTTGGTGTATTACCTAAATATTCATGAGCATAACGAAATTGTGCATCACAAATATTAATGAAACAATCTTGTTGTTTTTCATCCCAACGATGTCTTAATTGGCTAATCCATGTAAATGATAATGCATTATCAATTTTTTGACTAATTAATTTGCTAACTACATCACGATTATGTACATCAATGGTACAGATAGTCATGACTTTTTGACGATCTTGTGAATTCAATTCACCGATTAATAATGTGATCAATGCGTTTAACTGTTGTATTTGTTTTTTATTATAATCTTTCAAGGCATTTTCATAGCCTTCTTCTAATCTAGCAAAATTTATATTAACTTCTGTTGTCCAACCAATTTGTGAACCAGCTAATGATACTTGAGCTGGGTAGTCAAATAACCACTGATCACGGGATTTTTCTTCATATGTTGATACAGCTTCTGATAAATAATAACGTATTGTAGCACGCATTTCATCTAATAATTTATTTAACCATACTTCAACTTGTCCATCTAAATTTACATCTTTTGATAATTTAACTTGTTCGCCATCTTTAGCTCCCATATGATATGCAATTTTTGAGTTTCCTTTATTACCATCAGGACGAAATTTCAATGAAGCCATTGAATCAAATAGTTTAGTTAAATGTTTAGTAACTTGTTCTGGTATATTACCATTTGATAAGATATCTAATAAATCAGTTGGTGATACAAAATAAAATCGTGGGAATGCTAAACGTTTAGTTTCTAAATACTCGGCTAATGCTTTTTCACACAAAGTTAAATCTTTTTGTATTAACTCTAAACGTTCATATAAACGTGGTCGACTTGTTGCCTTAATCACATTGCGATCATCACCGATTTCATGAATTAATTGACGAAAATCACGATCAATTCCATCAAATCTTAAAGAATCTTGCGGTAGTTGTTTACGTATATCTTCAGAACCAATAAATATCGATTCTAAATGTGACCATGTACGTTGTACTTCAAACCAAATAGTAATCACTTGGTCAGCTGTAGATAATCTTTTTTGCCATAATGATACGTCATCAAGAAAATACGCAATATATTTGGATGTCATCATATTTTGTAATTGTACTTGATTTTCTTCAAGTGTTTCAATTAATTCTTCAGTTGCTTTCAATAAAATCAAATTTGTACGTGAATGCGTTTCTTGCTCAAATGTCATTTGTGACCACGTTGCATTGATTTCTTTTAATACTTTCTCCATACTCATTTCTTTTACAGATTTATCAACTAAATTACGTACTTCATCTTCATATTCATGTAAATTTAATGATAATAAGTCCATTAATGTAGTACTTTCAGTCATTTGGAATTTCACACCAGTAGCTTTCATTAATTGTATCCAATGCCGATCACGTATTGCTGGATTTTGTAATTCACTTACTGCTCTTAATGATGTTAACATATTTTTAACTTTTTCTTCTATACCAATATATGCATCCCATGCACGCATTTCTTTATCTAAACCACGTAAATCTTTGGCAAATTTTTTACAGTCTAAATCTAATTGTTCAACATTTATTGTACGCCATGGACTCAATGTCCAATTATGTATACTTGTTTGAATTAAATGAATATAGTCCCATAATATTTTCAATAGTTTTAATTCTTTACGACATTGTTTAATTTGTTTAAATTCGGGGACATTCACTTCAAATAAACTAGCTGATGTAAGAAGATTTGACATTTCGTTTTCCAATAATAATAAACTTTGATGATTCTATTATATAAATAAAACAATGAACAAAAGACAGAACAAAATAACAAACAAGTTATTGAATAAGTCGGTGAGAAGTTATGGTAAAAAAACTAGTTGAACACTGAACAATTTGAAATAATCCAATAATAAAGAGATAGATTTTATGGTTAATAATAAAAAATATTCCCATTTTTATACGAGAAATTTACTTACACTGGGTATTCAAGATTTAAAAAAATAACAGTGAATCAACCTCAAGGATTGAGTTGAAAAATTGAAACATTAGAGATCGTATTTGTCCTGAGACTATCTAGTAATTCCTGGTTTCGATGATTTTGTAGTAGATGACTGAATATGATGAAAATTATCTTCAGACTAAGTCTAAGTATTGGAATTCATACTGATTTATAACCAGAAACTTTTCAAGAGAAGATGGATGGTGGCTAGCAGTGGAATCCAGGATGCGCGTTTAATCCTATTTGAAACTCGTCAGCTGGATGTATCTGAATCCCATAGTTTGTGTGCACTCCGGGACTCGAACTCAACACCATCCTCATCAAACACCATCGCGTTATCCATTTAGCTACTGAGTCCTGATAGCCACTAGCTTGTGTGATGGGGTAAAGTTTAAATTCATTCGCAGGTACATCCAGCTGACGAGTTCCAAATAGGACAAAACGCGCATGCTAGATTCCACTGCTAGCCACCATCTATGTTTGCTTATAATGCTTTTGACTTAAGGCAAGATCAAGCTAATTCGCACAAGATGCACATATGCCAATAAGAGACTGATTAATTGCAATCGTAAACATTAATGAGAAGATTCAAACAAACAATACAGAATGGCCAGAAACCTTTCAGTTATAAATTAGCCCTTACGTACGATATGATAACGAAGGTGATATCAGTTTGGTAAAACAGTGAAAATCAATATGTGGTTTTTTTTTATTAAAAAACTACATTAGTTTCACGAGCATAGAGTGAAGTTTTTAGTTTTTTTTTAAAATTCTATAAATGAGTAGCATAGATGAATAAGTAAGTAGTTTATTTTGCCATCTACTCAAGCAACACTCACTGATGTGACAGAAGTCTAACGTAAAGATTCGAAACCTTATATTTCAGTACCATAACAAAGGTTACTATTTCAGATTGATCAGCCATCGTTAGGTTTTCGCTCCATCGTAAACGTTTAACTCTACATGGTAAACAGACAAATAAGAATCCCGATAAAATTAAAATGTTTAAAATTTCACATGATAAGATTCAGAATAGGTCTAAATTCTTCGTCATCAGCTGAGAATTCAGTGTTCCGTATAACGTTTTGGTAAAACTACAAATACATATCATCCACGAGTAGTTTGAAGACCTTAAACAATCAGTGAGAATAAATATTTCAATGTGTATTTTTGTACAAATATAGGTGAAAAATTACACTCTAGTTAGAATATGCATGTATCCAGAACTTTTTAGAGATTTTTTCCATCCGAAATCGAACCAACTCATCCACAAATTTTCCAATGGACCATAAATATTTTCAATTATTCTTTGATTTCCTAATTAGTCTACGAACCACCATTCATGGGCACTGGTCATCATCCAAGCAACCTTTATAATCATATAAATGATCAAATAAACTATTTACAACCAACTGCTTTTATTTTTAGTGATCAGCGTAAGGATCATTAAAATACGATACACTCCTATGATCTCATGAATTATTTTTAATTTCTTGAACTACGTTTTTGACAACCTTTAATATCTTGTGATAAACATTAATTAATGAACGGTTCAACAAATTAAGAAAGAAATGTTGGCAGTACACAAAACAAATACTTAGATTGTTTTCAGAGGTTTTCAAAACTGGATATAATCAGTAGTTCACCATTCACATTCAATCATAAAGTAATAAGTTTCAAACATTTTCAACTGGAAAACATTATCAGTAAATGTCATTAACTTTAAATCATAAATTCGATTTCTAGTTCAGTACATAAATGACAATTGGTTACTGAGTATATATTTAATATTATTACTGCCAATGAGAATCATTAGAACGTAACAAAAAAGTTATTCACTGTTTAAAACACGACGAATTATAAATTATTTCGATATGAAAATTATATTAAAACAAAATAATTAATTACCTTGTCTATAATTTCGTAAGGATTCTGACAACTATAATTAAATGGTGACATTTTACGGAATTCCTCACGATACATATGTTGTTTCACATCGAAATGTGCACATTTACGACGTATATTGGCAACTTCATTATTTTGTAATGGTGCAACTGTTTGTTTCATTAATATAGCTTGTTTTTTGACATTGTTCCATTTTTCAGGTAATGACTAATTATAGAAATATTCGAAAAAAAAGTAAAAATCAAACAATTATATAAGAATGTTAATTAGTTTCTAGAAAAAGATTTCCTATATATGCGACTACAGCTTGATAATAAATTTATTGAAAATCGATTCCTTCATTGAACTTTGTGTTTCTAACTAAATAGTATTTATTTAAATTTGGAGTCTTTGGATACCCTCACACGTTACCAAATCTTTTCTAATCAAAGAGAGTTTCAGTTGGAAAGTACCTCTATCAAGTTTAGGTCGGGATAACCATTAGATAGCAAATTCTTAATTAAGAGACTTGAACGTTACCGATTCGTGTTCGCATGCAAATACTCTGATGATTATTCTTTGCATAATTTTAATTGATAATAGAAAATACTTGATAGTAGGTCAGTATGTTTTGAAACTGTTTACCTTGTTATTAGTTACATTGTCGAAGAGATGAGGGTTGGTGCTGAAGGAAAATAGACTGTTAAACTGTACAAGAAGTCATATTTAGGATTATAAGAACTCCATTTTAATAAAAACTTGTTGATTGGTTTTTTTAAATACCTTTTCCGCTTAGCTCACTATGTAGGATTGATTAGGTTCTAGTTTGATTATTAAATAATCAACACTCAATGGCAATGTAGGGTGATCCATCCTCAATGAGCTCTTCAAAGAATTACTTAGTTATCATTCTATCATTAGACAAAAGAAAAATCTTATACCGATTACTGATTATCACGAAGCAAATGGCATTACTCAATCTCTTTGTTAGGTAGACAACCTATAAGTGTTTCCATCCAAGTCTGCAGTAGGATTTACTAATTATCTATATGTTGTGAAACAGGATAGATTTGATTTTTCTGTTATGAGGATTTGTAATTACTCAAACGTTGCGTAAAATATTGCTAGTTGGTGTTCAATAAAACCATTTGCCCTTATGACAACAACAAGGACAACCAACACCAAAGTAAACATTCTGATTTCATGATAAAAAAATCACTTATCACATGGAAAATTAATTACTATAACAATGAAAACTATAATAACATTATGCACTGACTTACTTCTAATAACTGATGTACGTCATCAGGCATTTCTTGGTTATATGTTTTCAATAGTTCTATTGTTTGTTTCAATGGCTCGAACATTTCATCTGTGGCTATTTGACGATCTTTTACTTGTCCTAAATGTTTCATGACAGAAATTAAAGCATCATAATTTCCGTCTTGAAGATCTACACTTAAACCCTTAGTGGAAACCTTAAAATAGGGGAAAATGAAATTTAAAAAAAAAACAACAGAAGATATAGGTTATAATCGTTTTATTATTTGAGATCGAATGAAAACAAATGTAATACCATCTGGAAAATAAACCCAGAAAACTACAAAATTACAACAAAGTCTTTGTACTACCGTCTAAACGAGTATTAGTTAACGGGTTGATGTCTTAACATATATTCTCTCATACCAAACAATATATATAAGTAACTGTGGGTATGAATTCTAGAGGAGCCCCTTGAAGACTGATGCTCAAATCAGTTAGTAATCTGTAGTAATTTGAATAGAAACCTGACCTGTCAGGTAAATACTAACAAGGGTGAATATCAATACAATAAAATATTCACTTGAACTTATTATTATTCCATAGTCACGATTATCGAATTGTTATTAAATCATTATTTGTCATAGGCTACTTTCAGTGTAAAATGTAAGTGCATCATATGAATGGATTTCGAATAGTAAGCTAAGAATTGAACATTTTATTACTATTATGTTAACATATAAAAATGAGCTTAAAGTAAACTATTAGAATTTACCTGGATGAAATTATTTAAATCCTCTAAACTGGTTGTAACATGATCAATTAAATGTTGTTTAAACATTAGACTCCATCGTTTAATGACATTTATGAGCGCTTGTTTAAATTTACGAGCATCAACACGGAACCAAGAATCAAATTTAGTAGATCCATCTACTTTACCAACCTTTTGTTTAAAAAAAAAGAATTCAGATTTATTTGACAAAAACTATCATAACACAAGAAAAGTGAGTGAATTACATAAAAACCCAACAGTGATTGAAGTTGTTTATTGTCCGTATGTAAAATAATGTAAACTAAAAATAATCAGAGCAAAAGTAATCAAACAAAATAGTTTCATTAAAATCCTTTAGAAAAAGTGACACTCCATAGTTCAATGATGATGATTTTAATGATTCGTTTTTAACAAGAATATCTTTACATTAAACAGTAACATTATTACTCATCCTAAAAAGGGAACTAGATTTAATCTCAATATCAGTCGCTCACTTTTTTTACTGTATCGTGAATAATGTCATATAAACAAATCATGAATAAAATAACCGATTATTTCTCATCCAAACAACGGTGAAACAACTAACTCTTCAGTGCTCTCTTGTTTTAATAAACTTACAGACACTAACTTTGGGAAGGCCGAGGCTATTTGCAATATTTTCAGTGTTTGTTGAGTGTGTTATTTAACAAGTGAATGCTTCATGTTGAATTATACCTTTCATTAAAGGTTTTTGTTGGGGTGATCCAGAAAATTGCTTGCAAAAGACAAGCAAGCATCAGGAGTCACTAAGATGTGTTTCGTCCAATCAGCGTTCACTTGAAGTTTTTGCCAAAGATATCAAGGAAGCGAAACGTCACATGTAGAGGTTCTGATTGGTTGGCTGCTACACTGCTACTATGTTTAGTAGCATTCCAGAAGCTTCTAGCAACCCAGGGACCTTTAAAATATTATAAAAACCCTGTATTTTCTGTATTAAAATGAACCTTGGAGTAAATTACTTATCGTATACTTTTAGTCTTCTCTCTCGTGTTCAGGTCGCTGTGTAGTTCTAGCTTGGGGGTTACAGAATAGCTTAGGAGACGAATATAGCGTTCATTCCGGCAAGACTTATCAGTGGCGACGGGGATGAAAACTACAATGAATATTTCCTTGGAGCAACTAGAAGCTCATATGGAGCGTCAAGAAGAGTTTTGAACAGTCTCAAATCAGAATCATGGAAGCCATGATGCAGAAATTTTTCCTGTCCCAGCAAAACCCTGCTTCCGGTGAATCACAAGTATCCCACACTGATTCAATCATTGATGCCATCCATGAATTTGATTTTCATGGTGTAGCAGGTATGACTTTTGATTCTTGGTTTAAGAAGTATGAAGATTTGTTCTATATTGATCTTTGCAAACTGGATGACGCTTCAAAAGTCAGAATACTTCTGAGAAAACTTGGGACTATGGAACATGAACGCTATAGCAACTTCACTCTCCCAAAGAATCCACGAGACTTTAGTTTTGATGAAGCAGTTAAAACCCTGTCTCAAATCTTTGGAGAACAATCATCTCTATTTAATATCCGTTATCAATGCTTGAAAATAACGAAAGAACCAGGAGATGACTGGGTGAAACATGCAGGAATTGTGAACCAAGAATGTGAGAGGTTCAAATTGTCTTCCATGACTGAAGACCAATTTAAATGCCTAGTGTTTATCTGTAGCCTGCGTTCACCCGAGAATGCTAACATCCTAAGCAATCTAGGACACTGTCCCAACATGACGCTGCAGGAAGTAGCTACCGAATGCCAAAGGTTAGTGAATCTAAAGCATGATGCCTCGATGGTAGAGAACGGCTACCGGTTCCTTCATGTCAATGCAGTCGAGAAAAGTCTCACGAGGTTCCAGCACTCAGAATTATCGTAATGACAGCAACAAACCATCATCTTCATGCTGGTTATGTGGTGGTTGGCACTTTAAAAGGTTTTGTCCGTTTAAGAATCATCGTTGTACTATGTGTTCCAGAAAAGAGCACAAAGAAAGTCATTGCAAAACTCGGAAACGCAGTCAACCGAAAGAGTATTCTAAGAGATTCAAACTACAAACAGCTAAAGTAACGGTAGCTGTTAACAAAGCTGGCTCTCATAACCGTAGAAAGTATGTTTCTCTCAAGATTAATGGGTATGATGCCCGCTTACAGTTAGATACAGCCTCCGATATAACGCTTATAAGCAGGAGGACGTGGGAGAAAATTGGGAGACCGAAAATATATTCAACTCATCAATTAGCACATAGTGCATCCGGGGGAATTCTAGACATTGAGGGTGAGATTCACTGTGAAGTAACAGTCAAGGAGTCCACGGAGAAGGGTGTAATATTTCTGACAGACCGTCCGTCACTCGATTTATTGGGGCTTGACTGGATAGAAAGGTTGAAGCTGACAGACCGCTACATAAAAACGATCTGCAACAATGTCAATACGTCGAAAGTTGAGAACACATTCAAAAGAGCACTATTGAAAGGGGAAGGAGAGGGGGCAAGTCAGGTAATTAAGAAATTCTTAACAGCTTATAGAACTACGCCTAACCCTATTGTCCCAGATGGGAAATCCCCTGCTGAAGCGATGTTCGGGAGAAGCATCCGAATCATATTCGACGTCATATTACCACCTAAACTAATGGGTGGACGCAGACAAAATCAGAATATTCGTAGTTTTAACGTCGGTGATAAAGTGCTAGTCAAATCTGATATGATGGGAAGAAAAAAAATCAATTTCCGATTGATTTACTCATTATGAGTTTTGTTCAAGATTACTTTCGTTTTCATTCAATATAATGATTACTCAATGTAGTAATTGTTTTCTCTTCTCTTATGATACTTTATTATGTAATAACATACGATATTCTTGTATTCCATTGACATGAACTATACTCAGTAAGTGATTTGTTATAACTCGAAGTATTTTTCATACATGTGATCACATTCTAATTATTAATCAGAAATGAGTGTAAAATCAATATATAAACCAGTATATTTTAGACTATTTTGATCATCGTTCGTCGTCGTGTTTTAGGACTAATAAATCATCATTTATACCAGTTTTGTATTCTTACTTTGCATCGTGGGAATTGCAGGGATCCCTCGTTCCGAGTATAAGTGATCAGCAATCAGTACAGCAATCAGCGACGACCAAATACAACAAAATCATACATTGGAAAAAATCGTTGGAAACCGGAAGTCATTGAGAAGAGAATGGGGAATGCTCTATACAAAGTGCGTTGGACTTTCGGAATGTGGTTTAGACATATTATTCAAATACACAGAGAGAAAAGGACCCTAGACAGAGAAGATAGTCAAGTGAGGCTTCCACGGGATATGATTATAGATACTCCAATGACAGAAACCCCAACAGACACTCATGAACTCTGGAGACCAAGAAAGTCCGAACGCCGTAGGAAACCAGTTATAAAGTTGCAAGTAGACCCTAAGAAAAAGTCTTATTTTTGAAAGAGGGGGGGGAGGTGTTGGGGTGATCCAGAAAATTGCTTGCAAAAGACAAGCAAGCATCAGGAGTCACTAAGATGTGTTTCGTCCAATCAGCGTTCACTTGAAGTTTTTGCCAAAGATATCAAGGAAGCGAAACGTCACATGTAGAGGTTCTGATTGGTTGGCTGCTACACTGCTACTATGTTTAGTAGCATTCCAGAAGCTTCTAGCAACCCAGAGACCTTTAAAATATTATAAAAACCCTGTATTTTCTGTATTAAAATGAACCTTGGAGTAAATTACTTATCGTATACTTTTAGTCTTCTCTCTCGTGTTCAGGTCGCTGTGTAGTTCTAGCTTGGGGTTACAGAATAGCTTAGGAGACGAATATAGCGTTCAATCAGACAAGACTCATTAGTTTTATTTCAAGCCATAACCATTTGTTGTTTTTAATCGGGATGTGGCATACTGGGATGTTGATGACCTATAGTTGTGGATAACTATAAACACTTTAAATGAAATCTTTCATGAAAGTTGCACTCTAATAAGCAGCAATAATCAACTAGATGAACAAAAAATGATTGGAAATCCTGAGTATAACATACTTAATGGACATTGAAAACGTTTCAGATGACCTTGGGCCTCATGAAAACCATTATTTTCAAATGTCAAATACAAGTAACACGTTTTAATTTGAACAAACAAAACTGAGGAAAACATATGTTACCTCTTCATAGATTTTTTCATAATAATCGATTTGCTCTTTAAACTGTTCCAACGTTGGTGGTTTTAATACTGGTAAATTACTGGAATTATCATCTAATTCACTAGTCCTTTGTATACCGCCAGTATTGATCAAATCAAGATCTTCTTGACTGACAGCTTGTCCATAAAGTAAAAACTGTTGCATAAATTCATTACGATCATCAATCCATAAATAAGAATATGCATCAAATGTGGAACGATAATTTAATGCCTTTTTCATAACAATTTCTACACGGTCTAATAGTTGTTTACGTTTTTTCAATAAATTTTCATTTTGATTCATTTTGGTCTAGAAATTATTTTTTTTAATTAGATAGTATACAATACCAGAGAAAATTAAAAGGAGAACAGGAATTGAAAGTAGCTTTAAACAAATAAAAATTGGATTCTTTTGTTGATTTCAATGATGATAAAGCTGAATTATAGTTCATAATAAACGGACTCTTATATGAAGTAATTTGTGTCATGCAGATTTACTGATTGGTCTGTTAAGTTAACTTGGAAATGAGCATAATTATGCACTGATTAAGGGACTTTGCAACAATATTTGAACAAAGAATTTCCAATGTATCAGTCAGTCAGCTACAACGTAGGACCAGGCATATATGTGCATCGGTCCAGGTTGCCATACCGCATCAGCACAACAAGATGAACACCGGATTCATAGCAGTGGTTAGATCAAAGGTGGTAATAAATAAGAAGAAGATTGCATATAGAGATATAGTACAAGAAGAAACAATTGGTTCGTAGAAAGAAAGATATGACAACTTCACTTATCTTGGAAGTCTGATCAGCCCTAATGGGCTGGTATCGGACGAAATCTCAGCACGGATTCGAAAAGCTCGCTTGGCTTTTGCCAACTTACGTCACCTTTGGCGTATAGTCAGTACTGGTTTTAATAAACCAAAGAGGATATGCCTTTTCACACAGTAGATAACTGAAAAATCATAAAGCTCTTCTGTCCAATAACCAGTGACGATAAGATGTTTGAATATCTAATTCCTATAGATCTACTGCTTTTGGTTTGTACACACCTCCAACATTATCCCTTAAATGACCTAGGAATAACTAATAATAACCAACCGACAAGTTTTCGTTTACCTGGATAATTGAATTGAGATACATAAGAAAGTGGATGAGACTTAAATGGGTGATTGAAAGAAGTAAACTGATAAACATATGATCCTTGCAACAAATCTATGTGAGATTCAAGTTACCACATTTTATATTTCAGTAAAGAAAGTGAAAATCATGGAGAATAGCAATAGTAAATTATAATATTGACAAAAATGAGGAACTAAAAATATTCAAAGATATAGTGAAAAAGAACGAATTAAATTCTCTAGTGGACTATTTAAATGATGAATAATTAATGTAATAGTCAGAGTAAGTTTTATATTTAAGATTTGTGCTAATTTGCTAATCGCTTACCAAATTTTTTGTTTATTATTGGATATATACAAAATAACTTATTATTATGTTAATTAATTTGTTTATTAGCAAGTTTTCTGTTCCTTGAACATCAGTTATAATGAACTAAATTTTGTTAATTTGACCATACAATATTTGTAGTTATGAAGGGTCACTGGATCGGTGATTAATTCTCAACTCTCAGTCATCATTTATTTTTATTCAACTTTGGTTTTAAATGTAGTGTGTTTTTGATGGTTTGCTTAAATCATCGAATAGCTGTTTTATCCCAGTTTGGAAATTCTCATAAACGGAATCGAATGAAGAACCTTCAAGTTTCAAAGTGAGTATGAAACTTTTCATGCACTGATTTAAAATCTGTCCGATTGCTCACATTTCTCAACCTCAGTTTATTCACCACATGTTAATAACAATAATAATACAAACCAATTTATTTTAATTTCCAATTCTATCTATTTAGTTCGTGGATTTACAAATGTTACAAAAATTGTTTTTAAGAAATAAAATGAGCTGAGGAACGGAGCAAAATAAAAAGTGTACTTCCACTAACCATATAGCTTTCTTTCATACTCAAATTGGTTATATAGGGAATAAATGTGGCTTGTTTATAAATATCTTCAATAATATGATCAACAAGTGAATACAACCCATTCTTCGATTCAACATCCATAGATGGTTGAAATGATATATCTGGAGCCTAAATGTAATACAAGGAAAAACTTCAGTAATAATAGCTAACAAAACTTATCTGCTTAACCCTTTATTCAAAAATTATTACAAAAACTAGTAAAATATGTTTCAAATAGAATCAGTGTAATAAGCTTAACATTATATCATTAATGGTATATTGTGGATTTTAAATGATGTCATTGTAGAAATATTCGGTAGGGTGAGGAAGTATTAGCCCGTCATTTTTTTACTCCATTCGGTGAAGGTGAGTTGATTTAAGGAGAATAAAAGAATCATCCATACATCACAACCATTTGTCATGAAAGACTCAACAAACGCATTGGAATAAATGATAATGTTTTTAACTTCCTTAGGAATCGTCTACTCCAAATTGTGATTTTTAATTGGCTAGGTGTAGGCCAGAAAAGTTAAGAGTAATCAGGTTAAAACATGAAAATAAATCATGAGATCTATGAATATTGTTGTGAGAACTGTCAAGATGACAACTAAAGCATTGGTGTTATCGAGATGTTGGAAATCAGTAATTGGAGATCCTATAAGACATACCTTTCTAATTTTGAAAATATTAATAAACTAGAATAATCTATCACTCTACTCATGATACTTAGTGTAAGGCTCAGTGTTGTTGTATTTGCCTGTCTAGATATATTGTATCACTAGAAGGTTGGGTGAAGAGATTCGTTTTTCCAGGCGTTTATCATCACAGAGTGGAGAAACTCTTTTGAACTCCCTCTATGTCAACACTTAGTCGATTGATTCAACTAACTGGAAGAATAAACTGTTTGCTTTGTTAGGTTATCGCAATTACTACGCTGAATTTTCATCAGGAAATTCGTTTAAACAGGTATTAACACATCAGTTTGAATTTAGCATTTTGCGAAATGCATAAACGGAATTCATTGTTCAGCTTATCACATTTAGAGAATTGTGTTTTGTATAACTAGTACTTTGTGATGTAGTACAGTTTGTTTTTTACTAACCCAATATTTCTTTTTCCTGTGAACCCCAAATTTACTGATACGACAATGAACTAGCTTAAACTTGAGATTAAAGAAAATTGTGTATTTTAAAATTAAGGGTTACTTGTAGTTCCATTTGAGCTTCTAACAGAGCAGCTGTTATTGGTGCATCTTCAGTTTCGGTAAGTAAATAATTTAAACTACATTCAATTGTTTGAACAAGACCATTTTCTACAATACTGTCGATATATTCAATGTATTTTGTCCAGGCAGGATCATTTTCATTAGCTTTAAATAATCCACGATTTGTCTAGAAGTTGAAGGATTAAATAAATAATAGTAAAATAAATGTATTATTCATTTGAATAAATGTAACCGGTCAGTTAACTTCTATGACTCAGTAATATTTAATTTAGCTAGTGTCATATTAATGAATACTGAAGATAAATTTTAAAAAATTTGGTCATTGTTTTTCTCTTAATGATGGATGATGTGAGTTCAGTAGACCAATTAACTTAGTGAAATACATTTGGTTACAACAACGATTAGAATAAAATTCTTTTTAAGAATACAAATTTAATATTATGACTAACCTCCTTTAAATAAAAACTTAAGATATTAAGACAGTGTACGATGAAGAGTGGACACATCAAAACTCGACATGAATAAGGTACAATTTACAACATCCTTCTACCCTGTAACGTATAAATATGGGTTTGTAAAAACACAACTACAGAATGAGAAAATTATGTTCACCAGAAAAGTATGATATAATAAATAATTGTCTTCGAAAAAGTGGCTTCCCCAAAGCATTTATAAAGGAATATACAATTGAATACCATTTAAAGATGGAATTTTGTTAAAAACTGAGGGAAAATGTGTTTTATTCAGTAAATGTTCAAAGGTAATCATATCGCATCAAGAACGAAATTTATTCCAGCATATCAATTTCATTGTACACAATGAGATGCACAATGACACAAGCAAAGAAAAATATTCATTAATTGCCACTTCCAAATGCATGTATCAATTCAAATGTGCATGCAAAAGCACGCACACTGGAAGGATAGAAAGACGAACATCTATGTGTTTTATCGAGAGAATTCTCAAGCACTTGTACTTCCGAGGACAAAACAATCTTCGTAGTTCCATTGCATGCCACTTCTTAGATACGGGACACAAGGTCGATGCGACGAATCCGTCAGCAAACAATCTGATTGTGCCTTATTAAGATTCGAGGAAACCATGGCAATCAGAAGACAAACGTGATTTTTGCATCCGAAAACAATCAATGATTGACCTTTCATATGGTTTATTTAACTCTTAATTACTGTCAGTTAGTCATAAATCTGTTGTTAAGATTTGTATCACAAATATACTAGTCACGTATATATTGAAATTCACTATGTATAGTACCACATGATTTTCTATGTTATGTCTACGATCATGAATGCAAATTCAAAAATAATACTTAGGTCGTCTTTCAATGGTTCTGGTTGGTAGTTTGAAGGAGGTGGCAGAGGTGAGGGTTATAACTGAGCGATCAATCGTTTTGAAATATACAGAAAACAGTGTTAGTGGATATTGGCAAACAAATTCACAATAGGTTGAAAACTAGACATTTTATATCTTTAAGTTGAGGAGTTTAAGGAGAACCACATAAGATCTAGACGTGAGGATAGAAACAAATGTGACCTAATCATTCCACGATAAATGATTATGGAAAATAAAGGAACCAATAATGTGGTGCTGAGATAACGAAGTAGGAATTAAATTTGGAAACTCGATGTCTATCACAGAAATGTACCAGATCCTATGAAAACTAAGATGAAGGTTAGTATGCTCACAAGAGGGAACATTTAAAGTTATGTAAAGCACATTTTTGTTGCATGGTATTATGAAGTACTTGGTTCGAAATGTGTCGACAAAAAAAGCTTGATCCCTGTTAAAATAATAGTAATCGAAGAAAAAGAAAATAGAACGACCTATGTTAAATCAGCCATAAAAAGAGGTAACCAATGTGTGTAGGGATAAACAATTGGATGATAAGCAATTTAAATAGTGGAAGGAACCATACAGGATAAATCAGAGATAAAGGTGCAGGCAGTGAGAGCAGGATGTTTAAACGAACTAATTAGGGATAAAGCTCATCTGTCTTGTAAGTAGACAAAGTTGACAAAACCAGCAAATGATGATGTAGAATGATCGCTTATGGAAAGAAAGTATTAACGGAACTCGGCAAAATATTCCTCAGAGTTTTTGACACGACACCACAGAATAATCGAATACCAAGCCTATAATTGAAAACAAAAACATAAATTTTACGAGATAGAGGACTCAAACACGACATTGAGAATAATGGTCAATCGATCTACAGAAGAGGACCCTCTCTATGCATATCAGTTTAACGGACTTAGTGAAAACATTTAACATCAAGAAAACAGCACATGAGTTACAAATTGTCTCCACTATCTCAGAAAAAAGCACCGATTTTGTTGAAATTCAAGAAAAGTTTGAAAGTCAGAACATTATTTCCACAATTGTTAGCAATCGGTTAGAGCAATCCATTACACAAGCAACGAGCAGAATCTAAAAGATATCCTGAATGTGGTCTGGTAATTTCACTCTTATACATTACCTAGATTTTAGAAAGCAGGAGTAAAACATAGCACACATTACTGACGAATATAGAACAACTTCAGAAAATGCTATTCGGAGAATACATTTCTTGACTGAATTGATGAAGATAATAGATTTAAAATATCACAATGCCAGAAAAATGAATGTCTGCCATTTTACAACTTATTATAAGTGGCTTGTTCACAGAAACACTCATACATTTAAACCTTACCGTATCAAGTAGGTCGGTTGGAGAACGGTAAGATTAAGAGCAGAAACCTAAAGTGAAATCATACTGTTGACTCTTGCGAGCTGTGATGGCATCAGGGTTTTTCTTTCAGACAAACAGTATCTCTGGTGATCCTGCCATTTCACAGAAAAATGAGTGGGTTAGAAAAGATTGGCAGCAAAAATAACACGCTTTACCTTACCACACAGATCTCCGTAACCAGATGGAAGGCCCTTAAAATATGAAGCCTCAAAAAGAAGTATTGGTCGGTGTTTTCTAATTTAAGTTACTTGTGGTGTAGGCGAGATATAAGTCTGCCAACCAAAGAGCATATATACTTTTTAAGAGACAGCTTTGTACTACTATGTAGCTGTAAAATGTAATCTGTGATTGTAAAAGATGTCCCTATGTTGCAGGTGTTCGATCGTCGGTGTACTTGAACACATGCCTCGTGCATAGTGGAACGACTGAGCGAACAATGCTGAGGTCAGGCATAGGTCACTAGGTAAAGATAAAATATAGTTCGATGAGCTTGTGAATCTCTATCGACTGAGGAAGTTAGGACACGTATTACGTATGCATTAAAACCACCTACCTCAACGAGCACTGTTGGCTAGTGTAGGAATAAGTTGAAAAGAAGATAGAGGCGGCCAAACCCAAACTTGATAACAACCCATAAAATTGTCAACGGTGATCATGGGTTGTGGATTATGTCACATAGCTCAGAATCTGTCATAATGGTCCAGGTGCACATGTTCATTTTGTTGCCGTCGATCTTTAATTTCAATATTCCTTCATACACTTCTTTATATTCTTGCTTTACAAACCGTATTTGCAGTGTTTAGTCTTTCTCATTATCATTGATGTCATATTATTTCGATTACTTTGCTATGCTTTTCTAGATTAATTTCGCCCCGCTAACGTGGTATAGTAACTTCAACCAACCTACGTATGGTTCTGCACCAATCATGATTGACGGAGAGACTAGCACCTAAATAACTAAATTATTGTAGTGTCTAGTACCACGTCAAGCCCACATAAGTGATTCTGGCTTCCGGACAGACCAATTAATTTATACCTTTTGAATCACATTTTGACCTTATCAATTATTCACTGATAACTTTGACGGTTTTTATATGAGCGTGTGTGAATCGTCCATCCCATTCATCATGTCTTTAGTTGACTTTCGTCTAGATATAAATAGTGAGTCACGGGTTAGCGAAAGAAGTTAGTACGCTTGCCTTCAACGCTTCAATTTCCCACCTCCCATCTTTAATGTCTAAGTAGACACATGCGTAAAATGATTTCATCCAACTCAATTCTTATTCGGCTACTTATTACCGTCGTCACAAGACGGGGTTATCCTAGATGTAATATGCGAAGTTAGAGATTTTTATTTATGGTATATTCATACGTTAACCCAAATAGGAGTCAGTTCAACGGGCCACTGAAGTGTATATCAGAGAAGTGTACATGAAACTGAACTTGGTAACTGACTTAAAAAGAGAAGTAGGGAGAATAATTGAAAAACAGAAGTTTTATTTTCATGTTTGAAACTTCTTAATAGGTTGAATACCTGGCATCGTTTACTCTACTAACAGGTAATGTCATTTTGTGTTATACAGTTTGTATAAAAACAAGAGGATAATGAACTTGAATTTATTGGTTGCGTTTTATGATGTAACTAGGCTTGTAAAATTGTGCTTAGAAAGTAAGTTGCATTGCAACATTATTGCAATTGATACCAGGTTTTACGTTACTTGAAAACAAACTAAGTGAATACTTTTTATGTATTCAGTTGATCTCCCTGTCAAAAATTTACTTGTATAATTTAATTTGATGTTTTTAAAGTTTGTTCGATTTGAAAAGATAGTTTTCACCAAGGAATGACTTAAGTTGAATAATTTTTAAAAATTAGAATACACTAAACATCTTTTTCATTTTATTCTGAAGCAGATTAGTGTTAGAAATGCACGACTGGATGTAATATTTGACCAAAACCCTTCAAACTTTATGATGAATGTGATATTATTTAGTCGTAAAGTTAGGATTCGTTCAAATTTTACAAATTCAGTCTATTCGTGAAGACTACGTGGTTGGAGTCGTGAACAGAGTCTGGGAAATTGAGTGACATAACTAAATCGGTAGTGCAATCGCGCACGTACATTCATTCTTTATCTTTCAGTAAATCATAAATTTCAAGATTATTTATTACTTTTCATTTCTTGAACTCTTTCTTTCTTCTCGAACCTTAGTGTTTATGTTAAACGTTATTTTTATTATTACAGATACAACAAATACTTTCAATGCTTTAAGTAATCATCATAATTTCATCTCACATGTTCTGATCTTGTGCGCAACTTGGATTGATACGCATATGTGACAAGCTCCACGTTGTTGGTGAATGACATACTAGCTTCTTCCCAGAATAAATGACTTTTTCAAGCTAAAGCACGGATAAAACCTGATAAACCATTTAGTAAGAACAAATAATTCTGATCACGCTAGTTTTATCGTCCTGGTCAATGATCTTACATGAGACATGTTTTAGTATTCTTTTTTACTTACTTCCAGGAGACTAAGTATTTGTTTTCCGGCATCTGTAATTTCTGCATAACGTTTTGAACATCTATCCTCTCGATCATCCAATCCTAATAATGTATCTTTTTTACCATCTTTGCGTTCAAACAATGGTGTTTTAGACCACGTGGTCATAATTAAACGAATTTGTTGTGCATTTTCTTGAGTTTGCACGACGCGATGTTTTAAATCATCTATTTGATTTCGTGTTTTTTGTATATAATCCCATGCATCTGAAAAAATATTGATAAATAATTCACAATTAACATATACAGGACTTATAAGAAGTGATATTTTACATACTAATAAAACCATGTGTTGGCCGTAGTCTTTATGCATCATATTTAGTGTATCCGATTGAAAGATTGAACAACAATGATTTGAAATGTAAAAAAACGTAGGGTTACATATAAGTACTGAAAATAAAGTTCTTCTAAAAAAGATATTTATTCGATTCAAGGACCTGAGGAATTTTCACCTATGACTCTACGTATGATCAAACTTACATCTTTCACGTCTCTTTATGAGCTATCAAGTTAGGACCGACTGCTTTTCATCACTTAATATCTATCTTTTTATATATACAGAAAATATATAATCAATAATAACTGAGTAAATCAAGAAAAAGTCACCTACCACTAGTTTTCCAACTCAATGAAGTTTCAGCTTCTTTTGCTTGTTTATCAAATAAACCCATTTCGTTGTTTACTAATTCTGTTTCAACAGATATAAGTTGATTAGATAAATAACTATATGCTTGAACAATCATATCTAAACTAATATGAAAATTGCGCAGTTTCTCATTTTGTTCATATAATTTAGTTGCTGAATCAGGAATTATTTCTTCTGTAAATAAGCCTAAATATTTAACCTCACGAAGGATAGCTACAAGCTAGTGAAATAAAAGCAAATTAAATACGATCAACAGTTAAATTCTAATTGATAACTAACTTTTTAGTAATGCATTAAACAGATAATTTCCAGAGTGTAGATTAATTTCGTCAAGGACTACCACCAGTCGGATGATCACTAAAGATTAAGGAACGCTAAACAGAGTTGAATTTGACTAACAAACAATTATAGGTACATTTATATTTAACCTGGATGTTTTTGTGGGGGGTTCTTACATATTTCGAAAAAGACTTTCGTAGCAAACTTACTTTGGCTGAGAAACCCAAGAGTACTAAATAACTGCTATAAATGTAGATCATAGGACTTTTACATAGTGGTTTAAAAATAATTTGCCTACTGCGAGAACTGAAGGCTTCGATTTTGATTTAGTGTCATGCTGTGTATAGTGCTAAAGAACTTTGAACTGGTATGAAGTTATATGTCTCGTCCTTCTTGGTTTGTGATGAAAAGGATCTAAGAAATACATTTATTTTGCAAAATCCACTGACTTATATTTATGAATAGTCTTAAAACAAGACAACATGCATGGTAAGTGTAGTTCTGATTCTCAATGACAGGCTGATTGACTCTAGCATCCAATGTATTTAGTTCATAAGTGTTGAGACAAAATATCAAATGAAACGTTTGGTTTCATATGTTTAATTTATTCAGTATATCTTTGTAAACTATCGTAACAGATCATAACTTTGTCATAGTGTCGTAATAAAGTAGTTGTAGGAAGTAACAGTTTTTGTTGATTTTGACGGCTATATTTTGACAGTATTTTTCGAAGAAAATATATCTGCGTGTCTACCTTTAAACGAATTTTTAATGCATGATGGAGACGTTATTTATGTAATAATACTGATACAACGGATGGCTTAAAATATTTTTCTCACTGTCAGGTATACCACGATAATACTTTAACACGATAGTGAGGCTACTCACGTAGTATCAGATCCAGGGTTCACGACCCAGAATAGATAACCAGAATAACACTAGATAATGCTTCATTCAACAAAGTCACAAGCAATCACTCTTAGTGAGTCCAGAGTGTAAATCAATAACAGGAAGAGAAATCACACACAGTAGTTAGTAGACTACCTGCCTGTTTGTCCAGGCTCAGTGACCAATCATGTTATACTTTCACCACTACATATCAAATAATAGCAATTAACGCTAGAACATTCGGTAACATACATCAGCTAGAGAATGTTGTTGGTGTATTTGTGTTTTATACCAGAAAATTATCCATTCCAATGTGAACAATTTATTGGAATGAGGTAAATCACAAGGTAAGTGGGACAGTAAGCATAAACAATCACTGCAAACAGTGACCATAAAATGTCAGAAGTGTTTTTTAAAACAAGCAACAGTTTCTTGATTGTAAAACTCATGTTTGTCTCAACCAGTTGTGTAGGATTTGATTATTTCAGTAGTGATCATGGTTCTAAGTTTCGGAAAAATCAACAGTCAGATGATCGTTGTATTCAGTAATTAAAAGTTAAATTATAAATTTATTAGTTGACATAAGGATATTGCACTGATTGTTCAAAAAAGTTGAATATCTTTTATCACACGGTGATTTTTGTATATTTCTTTGATAAGAAAATTTCCATCACATTGAAATCTTCATTCGGTTTCGTCCAATTAAAAGATTAGTTTTAAAATGGTAATAATTGCTTAGTTATTTCTGAAAATTGATATAAAAGGTAAATATTTCTCGACTCATCACCTTTTCTCCAAATTATGAACGTAAATAACGCGCAAACTACAAGCTCTATTGTTTCGAACATTGTCATGGACACGGATAACGTATTCTTGAGTACGTTGTATATGGTAGCGTTCCATTCGTCGTCTGAATATAATGTGTAACAAGAGGGTGTTATCAAGGTAATTAATGTGGATTAGGAAAGATGAATGTGAAGAATAAGAAAGGTATAAACACAAAAGGAATTGATAGGGAGGATGAGAGGTTTATAATATCCAGTTTCGGCATCTAGTGATCCAGTCATGGGCCACGGTAAACATAGAGGCTGGATATACCTCCTCTTGATACATAAGATTCTTTGGAATTTCGTATAAAACAGAGAAAGTTTCATTGGTTTAAATATGATGTTCGCTATCTAACAAGTGAAAAAGAATGGTACTGCTAATTGATTTAGTCATTCCTTTTCCCAACCATGCTGGTACATGTTCACGAACATGCAAGGATAAAGCTCTCTGAGTACGACCTATTTAACTAGCTCCACAGGAGCAGTTGAATTGGTATACACAAATCGCTAGCCTGTCCTTGATTTGTTGTGTAGGTAATGGTTTTGTTGAGAAAATTATATGTAACTTGGTGGCATGAAACTACCTTTCAACAGATCTTTTGAGTCGACGTATTAAAATATCACCCCCTATGTCCTCTTTAAAGTCCAATTTCAGATACAGGGTTTTTTTCACTGACCAAGTCAGTTTCTCTTTTTAAAATACATTCTAATAGAAATTTTCTAACGAAATGATCTGATTAGCTGTTATTCCGTATTGCGTGCTTTAGTGTATCTATTTCGCTATCTACACTATCTTCAGAACATAAGAGTTTGGTTCTGTGGCTGAGACATTTAACCAAAATTATTTGGCATTGAAAAGGTGTAAACCTATGGAAATGGGTATACTGACCAGTTTATGTATTCTTTCTAAATATATATATCTATTTATGGAACCGTCCATCCTTATAGAAAGTAGGACATCAAGAAAAGCCATAGTAATGTCGTTCTCCTCTTAGCTGGTGAATTAAATAGATGAGTGGACCTTATTGATACAGTAAGAAAACGTAAACGCTTATTCATTCCCCCCAATCCTTGACGTTTAGCGTTACTAATATATACCCCACTCATTATCTTATCACGATGATCTATTCATATGTTTACACGCATATTATGATCATTACAAGATCGAACTATATGTTCAAATAACTCCCAGAAATACTATAATAAAAATTAATTTACTGCTTGAGCATTAAACATTTTATTAGCTTTCAAGTTCAGTAATCACTATTATCAACTAATAAAAACAGTTATCAGTTTTTCCCCAGTTTGTTTTTAATGACGTGGATAGTATTTCTTCTGTCACGAGATCTAACGACTTCAGTTCCATTTCTACTTGATCGAAAAGAAGTTTAAATAAACTTCTTATCTCACTATCTATTCTTAGCCAGGAGTATAGTACGGCAGTCGAATAGAATTGGTGTCTACTTTTTCAGAAATTAAAATTTTTATCAAAACTCGGATGAAACACTCAGACAGAATTCAAATGTAACAATGCAAATTTTCACATCAAATCAAACCAGTTTATGCTACTTTGATTTTAGCTAATCAGATTACAAAGATGCACAGTTTACAGCCAATTAACAAATTATTACAGGTAACAAAACGTTTGTTCATTATAACACACTTCAAGAAACAAGTTAAACAATCACTTGTCGCTAAATATTTTTTATTACACCCAAAACTCTTTCATCACCGGGGTTCAGGGATCACAATCACCGTGCAGTAATTGTCAACCTCAAAAGTTCCTCCCTGTAATTGTGTTGTGATAAATTATTTTCATCCAGTCAGTCATAAACAAAGTAGAACTTTGCACAAAAACAGCGAAGGAACTGAAATAGTAATGCCGATGATAGTAAGACTTTAAAACAAACAGCTTAGTTAGAGAAGAGGGAATAAAGTCGTTGAATTAAAATCTTGATGTAACCTTGAAATCTTAGATTCAAGGGATGACAGAGAATGAGAACATTTGTGTTATTACCGATGAACCATGGCACTATAAGTGTCCTCTAAAGTATTACGATTATCTTGAATAATCAAACTAAGAAGCCTACATGTACAGTTACTTTTCAGTCTGATATTCTATGACCTAATAAACCGATGTTATTATTCGGTTTATTAGGTCCCAAAATTATTTCCGATCATCTATGTTATGCTAGTACAGTATATTGAATCATGTATAGTGGACGATCCAGTAATCCTAGACAATGAGGTTTCAACTATAATTATCTTCAGAATAATTTATATGTATGTGTATTGTTTAAAACTTACTTTTGCATTAAAATTTACACTTAGCATTTTTGTATTTGGATCACGTACAAGTAGTGGTTGAGATAAATTAAATGAACATATTTCATCTACACTTTTAGACCATTCATCGAATGCACGTTTTTCATAACTAAAATAAAATATCAAATATAAACTTGTACATCTACTAATGAGTATAGGAAATAATTCTTAAGTGATATGTATAGATCTTCCAAAACGTATTAAATATAAGTAATAATATTTATCAAAATAACCCATAGTGTCACTGAATAAGAAAAAGAGAATTCAGCGAAGAAAATTTTCTTTTCGACGAAATCATTTACTTAAGCTGTACATTCGTATATATAGTTATATGGAAAATCTATGTCTATAGAAGGATAGAAAGGATTGCATCACAAAAAATGGATTCGACAATAAATAACAAATGAGGTTAACGTACTAATCAAGGGGTAAGGAAGAACAAAATTTAAGGGACAGATAATAGTCCAATTGACAGATATGAAGAAAAACGACAAAACAACAAAGGTCATAATAATAAACTGAATGATAATCAAGAAAACTTGTAAAAGGTAATAATAATAAATGATTAGAGTTTAAAGTGCAAAATAGTGATTTAAAAATATAGATAATAATAAAAGTGCATTAAAAAAAAACACGTAGCAACATACCCGTTAAGGGAATTAGGGCCAAGGAAGGATGAGAGGTTGGACAAATCGTTTCTGCATGCAAAGTTCAGGCTTTAGTTTGTGGATTGCCAATGCCTCTGCGGTGCATAAAATATTGATTCGAACCCCCTTCGATCCAGTTCCTTTGACTCTGTAAACTATTTTAAACGAAGAGTCTTTTGGAGCGATATGTCCACAGTTGATTAAGTGCTCCTGTATAGAACTCGTGATTGTTTTTCGTTCAAGAGCCAAGCCGGATAATGTTCCGAGATGCGTTTGGATAATGATCGCTTTGTGCGGCCTATGTAACATGCCCCACATGAGCAAGTAAATTTATAGATACACATTGAAGTGGCCCAAAGCGAAAGTTTGTCCTTTACACACCCCAGAATGGTAGGTCGGCTAGAGAAGATGATTCGAAGTTTAGCTGCGTGGAATAATTTATTCATTGATTTCGAAATCCGTTTATTTAGGATTTCAGCAGCTGTATCTCCCTTAAATTCCATATTCATAAATAGAGTTTTTTTCTCTACTGTCAATGCTTTGTTATGGGGTCTAGGTACCAAGTTTCTATCGATGAATCTCGGTGGATAACCGTTTTTGATGAGGCTCTGTCGAAGATAAAATAGTTCCCCATCTATTGTGTCGTTGGAACAAATTCGCCTGATCCTTGAGGATAAAGAATGAATTAAGTTCCTTTTTCTAATTAATGGAACCCAACTGTGGAAGTTCGTGTATTGTCCATTCCAAGTGGGTTTTCTGTATATCGATCTCTGTAATAAACCGTCAGGCATTCTTTTTAAATGGATATCAAGAAAATGAAATTCGTTGTTTGTCTCTGCTTCTAAGGTGAATTGGATTGATGGGTGACAGTTATTGAAAATATTCAAAATATCATTGAGGTCACTGTCTTCTTCGCAAATAATGAAAGTGTCATCCATATATCTTTTATATAAATGAAATCTTTCAATTATTGGTCGAAGTACCGAATTTTCTAGGTTCGCCATAAAACAATCAGCCAGGAAAGGACCCAATGGAGAGCCCATTGCAACTCCATCTATTTGTTTATAGAAAATATCATTAAATCTAAATTGCACGTTGAGCGTACATCTTAGAAGTAGTTCTTTAAGGTAATGTATCGGGATACGCATATCAAGATTATTATTTTCAATATAGTCACATAAAAAGCAAATGGTTTCTGTGAGGGGAACATTTGTGAAAAGAGAAGTGACGTCTAATGAGAACATTTTTTTACCGGATACATTGATATTTCTAATGGAGTCAACAAAGTCAAAGGAATCAAGAGAATTGTGTTTGTTGATATGATTTTTAACAGGTTGTAGAATGTTAACTAACCATTTAGCGATTAAGTGATAGGGAGAATTGTTCATATCCAGTATAGGACGTAGTGGGTTATTATTCTTATGAACTTTTGGTAGTCCATATAGTCTTGGTACAACAGAACCAGATGGTTTGAGGTGTTCATAGAGGTCATGATTGATAATATCCTCATCTTTCATTTTCTTCAAAATTTTAATTAGCATTTGTTCAGTTTTTTCAGTAGTGTCTTTTTGAACGTTCTCAATAGAGAATTTGACAGGATCAGATAATATTGAAGATATTTTTGTAACATAGTCAATACGATCCATAAGAACAATTCCTGCACCCTTGTCTGGGCGGCATAAAACTAAGTCCTGATTTCTCCGCAGATCAGATAATTGAGATTTATGTTCTTTTGTGAGTAATCGGCTAATTGTAGGTATTTTATTTACATATTGATTACAACAGTCCACAAGAGTTGTTTTAAAATGCTCAAAATCTTTATTAGATACTGGAGTAAGGTCATTTGTCTGTCGCATGAAGCCTTCAAACTGGATTTTCGCGTTGAGTTCATTAATGTTAGTAGACGTGCTACAAAATTTAGGACCAAGGGATAATGCTTGAAGCTGAATAGTCGATAATGTTATACTTGAGTAATTGAAAACATATTTCTTCCTTACCCCTTGATTAGTACGTTAACCTCATTTGTTATTTATTGTCGAATCCATTTTTTGTGATGCAATCCTTTCTATCCTTCTATAGACATACATTTTCCATATAACTATATATACGAATGTACAGCTTAAGTAAATGATTTCGTCGAAAAGAAAATTTTCTTCGCTGAATTCTCTTTTTCTTATTCAATAATATTTATGATTATCATATTGAGGATACATTATTTAAACCAGTGTGGTTATTCTGTGTAGTAAAATGACTACAGTTATTCTTGGGAAATGATGGTGATTGGTTGGCTGTTTAATAGGAAAAGCTTAGTTTAAAAGTCCTGCCATATATATAGCATATATAGCATGAACTGTTAAAGACTTCGAAAATGGGATGAAACAACTATCCAAAGAATACTATTTGCAATAGCTCATCAATTCCTGTTACTCAATGGTAAACACGAAATTAGAATTTTAAAATATACAACTCACATTTCTTGTTAATTCTTGTAAACAGATGCAATCTCTAAACAGTTTTTAATCAAATAACAAATTAGATGTCTAGACAATAAATTACAGACGAACTAATAAGATTTAAGGTAGCACCTCTTGGATTTTTGTGTGAATTTCATTTATCTATACGTCTAAATAGAATTCTGTATTTACAATTGATGTCAGACAGATAGTCAAGGTAGATTGGTTGAACATTTTGGAAATTTTAGAGAGATGATTACCGGTTCAAGTTAAGGAATTCACAACAGCACAAAAGAAAGCGGGAAATTCTTAGAATCATTAATATGAGTAGACTTTGAAAGTGCAGAGTAAAAAGTAATTAGTGTCTAATATTTAACCGAAGATAATGGATAAATGGATCTGATAATTTTGAGTGATATCTAATTTTAAAATATTAGATTATTTAAACATTGTGAATGAAGCCTACACTCTTAATGACATACAATTTAGATCAACAGTCGCTGTCTTAGTAAATCACAAAGAGCACGAAACCGCTACTATTCTCAAAAGAAATTAGGCTTACTCATGAAGGAGATTCAGTATTTGATCATATTTCTTTTGAATTAATTCACCTTCTTTGGTATGAAATATTCTAAAACGAAAGTATAAGGAAATAGAAAATTAAACGAGGTTAACATTTGTTTACTTAGATCAGGTAACATTGATAATCTTCTGCAATCCAACTGACTGAGTCATTTGAATGACATAGTACATGGGAAAAATTATGTTAGATCAATGTTGGGTTTAAAACAGATTCAGTTGAAGGTCATAGCTTGCATGAAACCAAGTCAGTCGGTCACATTCAACACATAACCTAGTACATGAGTGCACCGGTAAAAGTTGCTACACTACACATTAGCACACCGGAATGAATTTATCAAGACAGATTCGACAAAAGTTGAAATAATAGTAGGAAAGTTTAGCCATAGAAGGTTTAACTCGAAGATAAAATATAGGTTTATAAAGTAAAAAATTCATAAGATAATCTATAGACATAAGATTCAAAGGAAGATACAGAGTGAATGCATCTGTGCCATTGCGAATAATTCTGAGTCGTGTTACAGAAAGTTTCTCATCATTCGTTACGACAATCGCTTGGACTTCAACCAGGTAATCTGCACCTTCATAAATGACTCAGTAACTTCATCGACAAACGCTACATCATGATTTGGTTGCCTTTAGGTTTATTGCAACCTACTCTCACACCAGATAAAATATTCCGTTGAGGTAGTTGGTGGCTGGCCATACGTAATACATGTCCCAACTACATCAGTTGATAAGGATTTATTTTCTCGTCAGAACATTGAGTAACTAATCTAATCCCATACTCTAAGTCGGTGGTTGGAGGTAACCGACAAAAACCCAGGACCTAGGTTTCGTACTATTTGGCACTTATCAATAGGGTGTACCTGTAATCTTTAGGGAACTAATACTCTGTGATGGATTCGATCCCGTGTCACCCAGCTTCACAGTCAAAGATGTTACCACTGATCTATCCAGGCTGTAACTGACCTACCGTAGGACCGAGATGTAATACACATCCCACAGTGCATATCATATATTGCACGCGATACCGATTCACATGACCAGTGGCCACACTGCAACTTGGTTGATAGAATCCTATATGCATTAAGAAGGACCTGACGCAAATGATATTGGCCACTACTCAGTGATCAATCAATTGTAAAACCCATATTCTGTTGATAGATTATGAAGGATTTTCACGCTTAACATGGTTAGTCAGTCAGTCAGCTACAACGTAGAACCAGGCACATATATGCATCGGTCCAAGTTGACATACCTAATTAGCACAGCAGGATGAACACCAGATTCATAGAAGTAGTTAATTCAGTGGTGGTATGAATGGTTCAAACCAATTTATTGTGATCGAAGCAAAGTGTTATAAAATTTTATTAAGTTTATTTTCTATGTAGTTCGCGAATTAAATTCTCCCTGGAAAACAGTTATGTTATATTCAATCATTTGACATAATCTTTTCTTATTCAACCATTATCTAAGTTAATCAGTTAAATTGAAAAATAAATTCACGTGATCTTCACATTTTAATAACATCTATAAAAAAGTGGTTCTTGTTCGCCGAAATATGAATTTTATGGGGAGGGAAGATAGGTTGGGAAAATAATATCTTTTGAGAAGAATTCAGTTAGGAAAATATTTTAATAGTTGAATCCATTGGTCGATCTAAGCTAGAGCACCATTGAAAACCTGTAAGCACTAACATCTCCACGGATTCCCACTCCAAGAAAATATTTGTCAATACTAAACACCTTACTAAGGGTTATTTTCAATGGTGTCAATTAAACGAAGTTGAATGTATTAAGCTTATCACAGCAAACGACGAAAGCTAAACATCTCCTTTATTTTATCTTTTTTATGCTGCACAGAACAGTGGTATTCAGCCTTATTCATGGTTTTCCCAAGTTTTTTTTTACTAAAGTAGGTAATAAAGAGTTTTAGAATGATATAAATTATTCTATATTTGTTATTTTATCCTCTTAAACTAATATAAATATAGTATACTGACTCAGCAGTGTTTGATTATTCATTCACATTTGCTCCTTCCTTTAAAATGATTCGTCATTACCTTAAACTCCGCCTGTAGCTGTTTTAGGGGTTACTGCCGGTCGCAAGCCCGGATAAAAGAGGAGTTCTGGATGTGGGATCGACAACCCCATAACATAGAAAACAATCTTGTTAAAAAACACCAACCAGAATAAACAATTTAAACCATTTACATTCTGCCTTCCGATTTGAAGGAAGAATAATAACGCCTCATGATGAAAGCCGAGATTCTTCAAAAGTCACGCGGCCGATACCATTACGAACAACTAGAGCAACAATTTTTATAGGTACATGGAACATCCGGACAATGTGGAAGACCGAGAGGACCAGCCACATGGCAACGGAAATGGGGAGATACAACTTGGCGGTTCTTGGAATAAGTAAAACCCATTGAACCCAAGCTGGACAGAAAAGGATAAATTCGAGAGAGATGCTGTTTTACTAGAGTCACAAAGAAGAAAGTGCTCCACAAACTTAGTGAGTTGCTCTGATGCTGTCCAAAGAAGCACTAAATGTACTTATAGGATGGGAATCTCATGGATCCAGAATCATCAAAACATCAATCGAAACAAAGAAGAAGGGAATCACAATGAATGTTATCCAATATTATTCACCTACCAATCCTAACAATGAAGACGACAAAGATCAGTTTTACGAGAGGCTGCAACCGATCATAGCGAGGTGCTCAAGAAAGGACCTGACTATCCTTATGGGAGACCTAAACCTCAAAGTCGGAACGGACAACGCCGGGTATGAAGGTATTGTGGGACGAAATAGACTGGGAGAAAGGAACTAGATTAGTGACAGATTTGCAAACTTATATGTATTCAACGAAATCGTTATAGACGGCACAATATTCCTTCACAAACGCATACACAAAGCTACATGGGTCCCACAGGATTACACTACAGAAAAACAGACCAATCATATCTGTATCACTACAAAATTCAGAAGGTCAGGTCAGCGAAAGATGCGAGAATCAGGAGAGGAGCTGACATGACTTCAGATCACCACCAACTGGTGATTGCCAAGATGAAACTGAAGCTAAAGAAGTAATGAACAACTGGGGAAACAACATTACAAAGTTTCGAAACAGTCTTTCTTTCAGATACTGACAAACCCAACGAATTCAAGATATCTCTCAACAACAGGTTCCAAGCCTTACAAGATCTACTGGGAGAAGAGGAAACTACTATGGAAAACAATTGGAAAGGGATCAGAGAAGTACTAACTTCAACGTGTCGGGAGGTTCTGGGTCTCAAGAAGCATCATCACAAGGAATAGATCTCTGTGGAAATCCTGAACAAGACTCAAGAAAGGAAAAACAAGAAGATGGCACTTAACAACAGCCGAACAAGAACAGAGAAAATCAAGACACAAACTGAATCCACTACAGCAAACAAACAAGTAAAGACGAGTGTAACACCAGCCAAAGCACTGAAGCCTGACATACAAGTGACTGCAAACATGCTCCACGTTCTATTCGGGAGGATTCGGGAGAAAGAATAAGTGCCACTGTCAGACTGGAAATCTAAGCAAGTGCGAGAACTACAGGGGCAGTTGACTACTCTGAGTTTCAGAAAAAAAGTTTTCAACAAAGTGTTGCTGAACCGGATGAACGATTCAGTAGACGTGCAACTTCGAGATCAACAGACCGGATTCCGTAAGGATCGGTCGTGTACAGACCAAATCGCTACACTACGGATCATTGTTGAGCAATCAATTGAATGGAACTTGTCACTATACATCAACTTCCCTGACTATGAGAAAGCGTTTGACAGGAAAATCTTATGGAACCCTCTTCGATGCCATGGTGTATCTGAGAAAATCGTCAACATCATCCGGAATTCATACAACAGACTACACTGCAAAGTCGTGCATGTAGGACAGCTAGCTGACAGATGCATTCCAAATGAGAACCGGAGTCAGGCAAGGCTGCTTACTCTCTACCGTCCATTCTGGTGTTTGACTGGATTATGAAGACCTCAACATCTGAGAGGACGTACGGAATACAATAGACAGCCTGGATACAGCCAGACGATTTGGACTTCGCAGATGACCTAGCTATTCTGTCCCACACACACGAACAAATGCCAATGAAGACAACTAGTGTAGCAGCAGCCTCTGCATCAGTAGGCCTCAAGCCACACAAAGGAAAAACCATGATCCTCAAATACAACACGAAGAACACCAACTTAATCACACTGGATGGATAAACTCGGGGAGATGTGGAATCCTTCACGTACCTGGGAAGCATAATCGAGGAACAAGGAGGGTCTGATGCAGGATGGTAAGGATTGGCAAAGCAAAGGCCGTATTCCCACAATTGAAGAACATATGGAACCAAAAACAACTGTCAGCAAATGTCAAAGTGTTGGGATATTCAGGAAAATATCCCAAGAATTATCCTGTTAAGCCTAATGTTATCCTTGGACATGAAATGGTATCATCTTATTGGTGAATATTTGTTTAACGTGTCATTTTCCTACTGGCCATTATTGTACAATGTTATTTTCTATTTTATGGTACGTTGTGGTCTGCTTGACTGGTATATAAACAAAGTATGTTTGAAATACAATGATTCATATCTCCGAGGCTGTCACTTGTGTTCTGGACTCAACTGGCTGGGTTAGATAGGGAAGCGAGACCAATCAGAACCCTAGGTCGTTCTACGTGTTTGTGCGTCTTTGGTCCGATCAATAATTCCCTACCCTTAATCCGCAGCATCATTTTCACGTTATAACAATTGGCGACGGGGGGAAGAAAAGATACAATCCAAAGTCATTCTGTAATTGGACGAAATCCAGTCTAATTATTCAACCAATCAGTATCCAGATTGTCATCAGTGTCCTTGAACCACATTGGTCATTAGTCATACAGTAATTTTCATCACAGGTGCTGATTCGAAAAAATGACTCTCCCTTCCGATCGATTACAGCTGCTCTTTGAACGACATTTGGACTTATTAGTCAAATTCCGCACGCAGCTGCTAAATCACTCATGCTATGAAGACGCGACGGAAGTGGATGGATTGATATCTCAAATACACAGTGAGCTGGAAAATGACAGCAGCCTCCATGAATCCTCGATGAACTGTACTTCAAACGAAACAGTCATCCATGATGCGCCCAGTGGTCCAGTACTTTCTATTCCAGAAACATGCCCGGTAATGGAGTCAAACTCCATCATCCCCGAAACAGCATGTGCAGACAGTAACATATCCAGCTCACGAGAAGATCTCATTGTTTTGCCAGAAAATGTGTTCCACGCATCAAATAATAACCAAGAACCTGGCACAGTTTTGTTGGACGCCGATTATCATAATGATCCACTACTTACTAAAGATTTAAACCCTGATGACTTCGAATTGGATGGCGTTTATCCTCAATATCTGATCGATTTTACTGGATTCCCTGTGCAATATGTTTTAAATACAATCAAATTAATTGTAATTTGGGTTTATGAAGACCCAACATTATTTCGCGGGGGAGGATGGACGCGGAAAAAAATTTAAAATCCGGACATCAACTCCGGATCTCCAAAAAAGGGAGGTGTTGGGATATTCAGGAAAATATCCCAAGAATTATCCTGTTAAGCCTAATGTTATCCTTGGACATGAAATGGTATCATCTTATTGGTGAATATTTGTTTAACGTGTCATTTTCCTACTGGCCATTATTGTACAATGTTATTTTCTATTTTATCGTACGATGTGGTCTGCTTGACTGGTATATAAACAAAGTATGTTTGAAATACAATGATTCATATCTCCGAGGCTGTCACTTGTGTTCTGGACTCAACTGGCTGGGTTAGATAGGGAAGCGAGACCAATCAGAACCCTAGGTCGTTCTACGTGTTTGTGCGTCTTTGGTCCGATCAATAATTCCCTACCCTTAATCCGCAGCATTATTTTTCAAGTTATAACACAAAGTCACAATCTTCAGTACGAACATCAAGACAGTCCTACTGTAAGAAGCTGAAAAGTGGAGAACTATAACAACTATCATCAAAGAGGTACTAGTATTTATAAACAATTTTCTTCGGAAGATACTCAATGTTCATTGGCCGGAAACCATCAGCAACTGCCTACTATGGGAGAGAATAAATCAGCTTCCAGCTGAGGAGGGAATTAGAAAAAGACGTTGGAAGTGGATAGGATACACATTACGGAAATCACCAAATTGCACCACGAGATAGTCCCTAACTTGGAATCCTGAAGCGAAACGGAAAAGAGGAGGGCCAGAGAACACACTGTGTCCAGATTTGGAAGCAGATATGAAAAGAATGAATATCAACTGGAAGGGATTACCGAGGACGGAGTTGGATGGAGAGTGCTGGCCGGCGACCTATGCTCCTCCATGAGGGGTAACAGGCGTAAGTAAGTATCATTGCCTTAATGAAAATATTATTAAGTTGGTTACAATAATACAAATTAAGGAATGGAGAATATGGTTTCATGTCATCTTACAAAATTCCGGTTGGAAGAAGACTGACTGACAGAAAATGTACACAGTAAAATAACTAATTCTCGGTTTAGTCTACAAATTAGAACACACTTACGGCAAGTCTAATTGATTTATCATTTCCATGGGTTGTGTAATGCGACTCTTCAAATCATTTGCCCATTTTAAATTTCCTGACAATCTAGGCATATTTTTATGAATTTCTGAATAATATGATGGTTGTTTCTTGTTAAGACCAAGTTTTACATCATGCTTCTCTTCTGATGATTTATCACCTGTTAGTGACTTGTCATTTGCAGATGATATTGAGTTCAATAATGGAACTGATAATGGTAGAAAAAAAACTATTCATCTATCATTTATATTAAGAAATACAAATCAGATTCAGAGTAAGTACAATAAAAAGTAAAAGGTGAGATAAAATCAATATTTTTTGAACCTTTGTATTTTGTAATTCTGTCTACAGTCCTTTTGGGGTCTTTTCCGGTCCCCAGCTCGGATAAAAGGGGAGTTTTGGGCAAAGGGTTAGCAACTCCATTTCATATAAGGAAACCAAGGGAAGGTATTGCAGGGGGATAGGTCACACTTTACCGAAATCATCGGATCGCATCACAAAGCAAGCTCTAACTTGGAATCCTCAAGGCAAAAGGGAAAGAGACAGTCCGAAGAACATGTGGGGCCAGAAATCGGAAGTGGACATAGGAACGATGAATAGCACTTGGAAACAACTGGAAAGGAGAGCCCAGAACAGAATTGGTTGGAGATCTATGGTGTACAGCCTATGCCTCACAAGGGTTAACAGGCGTAAGTAACATTTTATTGAAATGGACTAACATTTTATAAATAACTAGAAAATTGTGTTAAATAATTTACTTGTAAAACTAAAATGAAATACTAGTTGTTATTACTGATGGATCGACTTCAGGAATATTAAAACAATGTCTTTACAACAGTGATTAACGGTTATTTGTCTTCTGGCCACAAATTTGCTTTATTATAATTCCACTTTCAGTACTTTACTTCGGTGTGTAGTATTGTTCAGCGATTCACAGTATTATTTATATGGATGAATTATTATATGATTGTGTCTGTCGGTGGAAAAACGAAGTGACAGACCCCATACTATTCATAGTAATGCTTCTTTTTGAGTTTTAGAGAAGTTCCGATGACGTTATGCTACATACGTTCCGTTAAAGCTTGTAAGTAAATATTACAGTTAAAATACATTATTAGTTAATTAAAACCAATTCAAAAAGATCATTGAAATATTTTAAACAGTTCGGAAACAAATAAGCAACAGATTTTTTAAAAATACAGCTTTTAATCAACTACTCACTTTCTTGTCTAAACTTTTCACCAGCTACATGATAGTCATAGATATTTTTCACTGTATCCATCTCTTCATTCAACATTCGAGTTAGTAATTTATATTTAGGTTGAAAACTCTCCTTGATTATAGGTCTGTCCAATAATGTATGCAGAATACTGATAAGCTGTAATACAATGTAGGTAAAAATTTAAATTTGCAATTAAATGTATGAGATAGGTTTGTGATATGTGAATAAGAATTGATGTTTGGAGAACTCGGATCTTGGTAGGATTTAAGAAAATAATTTCTGTCTCCTCAGTATCCGTTTTAGCCACGAGAACTAAATACCAATTAGTTTCACTTGAGTTTACAAATATTACCCTATCGTTAGGTGTTCTAAGATGGTCAGGACCCAAGCGGAATACATCTATCATTTGAAGTCAATCTTATTACCAGCATAGTGCGAAGTTGAATACATTATGACGATTAGGGTTCAAATCCTACAGGTAGCATCAGTCTGGAAATGACTGAAATATGTCTTGCTAACGAGTACCAACTATCACATAACCTAGTTTCATAGATTCCTTCTGGTCGTCTCCAAATACATAATATTAAGGCAGCCCAACTGACTGATTCAATACATGATATGACTAAGGTATCTGGATTCGTAATTTTCATTCTATTCAAGCCAATCCCAAATAAACTAAGTTTGAGATACAGATATATTGGCCATCTAAGAGCAATAATATTAGACAATTGAAAGCAAGTGAGCTGTGGTGGTGGTAATTTCTATGAAGTAAAATGTTTGTAGTAAACAAACAGGGGAAGTTTAAGGATAGTTGTTCCAGAATAAAATGTCATTCAGTTTTGATGAGAATTGACAGTCCATCACGAGGAATATATTGCTGATAGATTAAAAGCAAAGTATAATAATTCTGATTATCGATCCACCAACTAACAATATATATTAATAGTCTAATTTAGTTATTTATATATTACTTTGACTGGTCGTGTAATGAAAGATAATGAATGGAACAGGTTGTTGATACTTTAAACGACTAAACTATCTAATAGTCAGATGTTGTAGATCAGCAAATAGAGTACTGAAATGGTAGTTTGATTACCCCTACTTCAAATTCTGCGATGACCCAAGTTTACTTCGAATCAGTATGTTTTGTTATTCTTTGTGATAAAAAGAATTTTCTAATTATTAGTTAACAATTGTATGTTACTGATTACTATTTTAAGTAGGTTAAAATTAATTTCAAAAATTGTGAGGTACCTTGAGAAAATGTTCTAAAGCTGGGCAGTCGTCTACTGCATGTTCAATCACATTAGACAGTCGATGTTCCAAATCTTGAACATGCTTGTTAAAATCTGCGAAATCCTTACAAAACTCTTCATTCAGAGGATCCAGAACATCATACGTTCTATCATTGAACATCTAAAGGAATATAGAATAGGATAATTCACAGTGACATTATAATAGACATAGATAATTAGAAATAATAAATACAGCATTTGTATGCTGGTCAAATAAGGAGAATTTTTTACCAACTGACTTCTTTTAATATAATAACTGAGTGGTTGGTTTATGACAGCTTGGTCACAGAATCAAAGCTGGGGAACGACCTCGGAGAGGGACAAACACATATTTACCATTCAACTATAAATGGAATGAGAACATTTAAATATGTCATATACTTCCGTTTCAGGGAGTTATTTGACCGAATTTTCTCTGAAGATTTTTGGTCAGTGTTAAGAATGGATATACTTTTTTTTAATGCTCTAACTTTAGACTGTGGTATCAATTTACAAATCTAGGATGAGCCACCTCCTGAACTTGACACAAGAAATAACCTCTTACGTTTTTGATTGAGATCATAAACCGATTGATGTTAGACCACCATTGAAAACCTAGAAGCACTGGACTGCCGTCTCGTCCTATTGTGGGACTCCTCAGCAGTGCGCACTCACGACCCCGCTCGCGGGACTCGAGCCCAGGGCCGTCAGTGTCGCACGCGAACGCTTAACCTACTGGACCACCGAGCCGGCATTCAATGGTGTTAATGTCTAACCTCAACCAATCCACGAAGTTGCGTGACCATCTTCCATTGTACTGAGGTAGATACCTGTCTCTACCCGACACGGATTAGCTCCACTGGTCACGGCTACTCACTAGAACTCTGAGAATTTTCTCACGAAGCTAGTCACTAGTGAGCACATGGTAATTACCAGTTTAGGGTTGTGCAGATGGTTAAGTTTTTGATTGAGATCATGGACCAATTAACGTTAGACCACCATTTTAAGTCCTTGTTAAAGCTTTAATCTTGTGTACTTTTTGTGAGATCGTATTCTGTCTATGAGTTTATAGGTATCTATTATCTTATTATGAAACCATCAAGGATATTCGTAATAAGGAAAACACTGATATTAGTCTAAAGCCATCAAATAAAAACCTGACTATAGATTATAGAATGGCTGAGAGTTCTAGCCTTTTCGCTTGTTCAGATAGTTTCAGTGTCCATAGTTAAATAGTTGAATTTTAGTCAGACTTTGCCATTGTTGATTTCGTTAATCTATTTATCTATATACTTCATATCCCTTTTTCGCTGTCTTCACTTTTACTGAACGTAACGACGTGAATCATAGCACTCATATATTATCTTCATAGTTAATTCTATCCTTTAATTAAAAATTATAATATTTTATGAATAAGTGACGATGAAGACAGTTATATTAGTTTGTTAGAGAATTAAGATATTGCAAAAAAAACAAACAGCAGAAGTTTTGAGATCACATATTTTTTTCATTTTTGTCAATGTTAAATGTCATAGCAACAATTAAGTTTAATAACTTACGTACTAAAGGTTTGCAGTAGTAACATAAAACCGTATTTGTTGTTTTCATAACTAAAAGGTTTAGTTTTTCAGTTTAATCTAAGGTCATATTACCAAAGTAATCAACGAAATATATTGTTGGATATGTTGGATAGGGGGTTAAAATGCCAGGTTAAAAAATAGACAAGTAAACGAAATGATAACTTGGTAGAGACTAATGAATATAGCATGGATAAATTCAATTTTCGTAATCAGAAATCAGTCGGGAAAGCATGTGGATAGTCGTTTTTATCTAGTTATTTTTTAAACAAGTTCATTTAGTCATATAATCAAAATTCTTTTTTATCAGAGGTAAAAATTTTGAAGTCTGATAGTTAAAAGTAATTATTAGTAATATATAAAGTGTATAAGGACTATTTCAATTTGAGCGTAGATTTCCTCGCTGGACGATATAATTAAAAAGACCCTTGAAAACCTTTCAGTGATGGACATTTATTTATAACTAGCTTAGGATTTTTAAGCAATGACTAAACGATCCATTATTTTCAGTACTTGTGCAAAGTACTTTGCCTTTAGACTACCGATTCAGACTTCAATGATTAGCGTTTTCAACTTGAGTCAATTTGGTACATAGCACCACAACCATTCAATCATATCGGTAGGTAACTGTCACACACTCGAAATGGTTAAACTTTACTAATCATGAGTTGTTGCTAGAATTTCATGAGCTTGTCCTTAATCCAGTTAACATTGTGTGTTACTTAGTGGCTTCGTATTCGTTACGAGACATGGATTTTCTTCTTTCTATCCACCATAAAATTATTGATGAGTAATGTTGAAGTCTCCTAACCTGGAATGGAGCTGACTGATTTTATGGTATTTTAGCTGATCCCAGTCTGTGAGTGACGCTAATTATCTCCCAGTTATTAGTGAGTTTACTTGATCAAGATTTCATATTTATTGGCAATGCATATTTGGAACCTAAAGTAATCTATTAGACTTTTAAAGCGGATTTGAATTCCATCATTTAAATCAAGGACTGACCCAAGTTGGGCATCTAGGATTCAATGGACAACAGTCTCAACCTAGTGCGGGACTTATCAGCCGTCCCTATACATAACCTTACTGAGGATTAGACTCAAAATCTTTAGGTCATACGGCCACCCAGTGAAGACTGAGTTGAAATTCAATGGTCTTCATGTCTAACTTTAATTGATTCTAAACAATAAGTAACCATCTTTCAATGCCATTGGTATGTACTGCCTTACACATTGCGTGGTTGAACTCTACTGGTCACGGGTTCTGATTAGATCTCCAGATAGTAGTCACTAATGAGTATATGGTTATTATTAGCATAGGGTTTTTTTATAATTGACCCTAATGAAATTACGAAACTTAATTTAATGAATTCGGCTACTTGCTAACAGTGACACAAGATTGAATACAAGGAGGTACAAGGTGAGGTCACGCAGATAAATGGTCACACAATACAATCCTAATCAACTGAATTCAATCAACAGAGATACTGAACACACTGTTATTAGGTCAGGGTTTAAAAATATGAGCTATCATAGCTTCAGTGATTAAAAAGTCTTAGAGGTACATCATTTTACAAAGTTAGGATGCATCCTATAGATGGCATGAAAGTTAGTCACTAACTTCCTGCTTAATCAGAAACAATTAAATACTTTGATATGGAGCAGTTTTACGTTTTCTTTTTGGTGGTGAGTTGGTTTGAGTTGGTCTTAGTCTCATATTTCTCATGATGAATCATTTTTGATATTTGTTTTCAAATAAATAGGTGTTTTTCTACAAGTTAAAATGGATGAAATAGAATGAAGTAATATCCCAATATGTTACATTAATATTTCTTATTATATTAGCTTTTCATACTGTTTAAGAGGATTTGATCAAAGGTTGGCAAGATGTGTAGTCATTTTTGAACTTCATTGGTTTCTCAAACAGTGATTCAAAATAAGGATTACCAGTAAACAATATAACATGTTTAATCATAACAATCACACATATGGAGTATACAAAATACGTTTATTGCCATTCAGTTCTCTGATATGGATGAATGTAAAAAGAATCATCTGTTAAAGATGATATTTTTGCGATATTAACCGAATGATTTTCAAATGGAATTAGTCAACTTAGTAGATTCCATAAACGATTGCAAAATCAAAACATTTTAAAGAATAAATCATATCTTTTTCAACCCTTCACATAAATATGAAGATAAACAGTTTAAAGGTGAATACTTCTCCGTAGAGTAAAAACGACGAAGAAATAAAAAAAATAGAATGGTAAAATTTTCACAACAAAAAACTATAGTTTGTAAATAATAATCGAACACTTTCAGCTCTACTGCCATTCTGTTTACCTTGTATTTATTACAAAACGATTCATAAATTTCTGTGACACGTTGATTTAAGGAACCGCCTTCAATTCCACCGAATACTAACTTTTCTAATTTTAAAAATTCAATAGCTGTTGACACTAAATGCTGTGCAGGAAAAAAATCAAATACATGAAAAACATGAATAAAAACTCAAATGTGATTTTGCATAGAAATTCTTTCTTATATTTCGCTACAGTTTCAAGGACACCACAAGTCATTTGATAGTGACTACAAAATTTATGAGTGCAAATAGATAATAATATCGTGGATAGACGTCTTCTTTGCTTCTTTCCACACTTGGCATTCATATATTATTAATAAAGTTTTATGCTCGATTGTCCATATTATTCTTTCTATTTATTTACAAATATTTTTACATATTATTGTGATCTACTTTTTCGTATTTCTTGTAAAACAATTCAAATACTCCCAAATGCTTCTTAATTATTGTCGCTAGGTCGACCGACTTTGACCAACACTAGGGACCTATACAATGTAGTTTTACTTGCCGATAAAAATGTTCACTTAGTATGAAAACATCTCGAACCTACAGGAGGTCAGTTGCAGTTCGAATGGCTCATCAGTAACGTCTGCAACTGTAACATCACATGATATTAGTTCAAATCCTATAGATAATATCACTTTCTTAATGATTTAAAATATACCCAGCTGATAAGTCCTAAGCATTTCGAAACCTAGGTCCAGAGATCCCTCTCGATCAACTTTATGCAATTAACATCAAACTCTGGGATAAGATTTTAGCTTATATTTTATCAAAAAAATGGAAAGAAAATTCGTATATAAAATTAATTGTAAGAATAAGAAATTTATGTTATCAAAATTACTTACATGTACTGAATTAACACGTTCAACAAATGAATCATATCGACTAAAAGCCAATTCATTTTTAAATTCCCATAAAGTAATTTCATCTGAAATATTTAGTTTTTGAGAAACTATTTCAAAATATTTTGGTAAGTTTTCACGATGTTGATGATATATATTTTTAAATTTATGTAATATCTTCAAAGTATATTCAATTTTAGGTTGGATCTCTTCAGCCTCACCTTTTAATATATCATAGGGATCTAAATTTGTTCGACACTGAATAAAATAAACAGTTGAGAAAAGATGGAAAGTGGCATAATTTAACTGGTTTATACAAACAGGATACTGTTTGAATAATTTATAAATGGTTTAAAAGCTAATTTATTAATGACTTATTGTGAATAAAACCAGTTTATATTTTTATTATGAGTAGAGATTTGAGTGTGACAGTTTGACATTCATTTCAGAATAGTTTCACAAAGAGGCTATACGATAATAATATTTGGCTTTTACTTCTATGCAGAACGAAGTTCAATATATGTTTCTTAGTAGGACGTGATAAGCCATGTAGAAAAAATATAACGAAAATGACCGTCAGCTAGATAGTGTTTGAAACCAATATCAGACAGATATTTCTCCCCAAGACGAAATTACCCTAAATACCGACTAAAGTTCATTTTATTATTTGTGGGCCAAAAGATAAAAATCGATTCACAAATGATCCCAGTAGCAACTGTCAAAGTACCGGAAAGTACTTCATAATCTTTTACTAAAAGTCCAGAAAAGAATAAAGGGTATAGTGAAAAAAGAATAGATTATATACAAGAACCGAAGAGTCGTCAGAGGATATATTAGATAATGACTAAAATAGGTAACCTACTTAAATAACAAATCACGTGGAAAATTGTTTTCCATTTTAAGAAAAGCGTGAACACCAGCGACAGAGTGAAAAAGATCATCAAGACAAATACCAACATCGTGTTTTATATGACTGAATCACTAATATTACAGAAGTCATGTGACTTAAAAACGATTTTCAACTTTTTTTTCTCGAACAAGTTTTAAGTTGAAAGTTCGACATTTATAGGATTTGAGTTAAGGTTATCCAACGTTTGTGAATAACCAGTTAATTGGAAGCTATCTGATCAGAGAAAATCTAGAATACATATTGTACGACCATCCACACGATTAACATACGTGTATTAATTGTACAGGAAGTTAAAATGGGAAAGACTAACTTCTTAATCCACATCAATTTTAATCAGTAAAAAAATGAAACACTTTGCTTTTTATACAATATATTTCTCTATTTCAGGAAAATAAGAATATAACTATCCATTCGTTCAGGAATAATTATTTATGAGACATACGTTTTGTGAAATAGATCTTAGGACAGGATTCAAATCAGACTTATGGTCTGGAAAAGTGTATCGAACATAATTAATGCCTTTTTGTTTCTGAATTCAATGTCGAATTATCAAATGTAATGACAGAAGAATCAAAAGTACTTCTCGAATATTTTTATATAAAAAAGTATTGATCATAATGATCATCCGATGGGAGTTACTTGTGAGTAGTATTAGTTTTTCCATTGATTAATAGAAAAGGAAACATCGTAATGAATCGGAATTTGAATAGTGGACAAATACTTCAGCATAGAAATTCTAAGTATTAAAAATGAATTCAAAAATTCCTGTAAATCCTCAATATTTAATCGACATGTACTTTACTTTTCATACAACATAAATAAAAGTAACCGAAACAGTGGAACTCTCATCAGGAATAACGTCAAGTATTTTTTAATCAGAAGATAATTTTTCAGTGGAGATGATCAAATTTCAATTTCAATTTTGGTGTGGTCTAATTAGAAAGTATCCACAACATATCAAATCCATTCATTCTTTAAATTCGCCTATTAAAGTTGTGTGCTACTCTATTATTTGTAGTTGCAACTTATTTATCATCAACATGACAAGTATGCAGAGGAAAACTTGACAGAAGCATTTTTACACAACCGATTTAATTATATTTAATATGTTTAAAGCATCTTGGGAAGAAATAAGATGGATAATTCACTTGGTCAGAACAACTTACTTTGAAAGCATAAGCACGGTCTTTAGTTGTATCTTGTTAAATAGTTCTAAAGTTATTGTAATGTTAAATTCGTCACATTTTCAGGTCGGATAAACGGTGATCTCTAATTCATTCTGTACCTTATCACTTATTTAAATTTAGAGCTCAGCTTGAAAATCTATCTTGTAAGCAGTTTTTTATTTCTATATGTTTGGACATATTTTATTCTATAAATGTCAAATGCATCAATTCATCTTGCAATATCAAGTTGATAAATAATGTAGAATATCTCAACTCAGAAAACACAAACAACTGTCAACGAAATAATGAATGGCGAGAAAGAAAAGTTGTGTAGAGTTAACCCATAGAATATATGTAATCAGATAGTTGCATTTTTATGGCAGATTTTAACAAATATATGAATCGCGTTCTAAATTCTTACATTTAAACTACCAATAAATAATCATTCAGAATTATTTCAATAATTATCTCACTTGATTAATCATTAAATTACATAATTCCTGTAAAAGAACTAGTATTCTTGCTGGTTGTCGGTAGCCTTTAGAACTAGCCCATACTAAACAGATTAAATCAAAAATAGGTTCAATATGTTGTGATAACTGGTCGAATTCAGCTTGTTCCATGTCTTCTAATCTTGTACGCATCATAGTTAAATGCATGTCAATATCTTGTGCTTCACGTAAAGCTATAATAGAATGATATTAAATTTAAGGTTATTGAAATAACAACCACCGGTGAGAAAAGTTAAAAACTGTTGTTATAACTGAATTGACCTGATTAATAACTACTAATTAGTCGAGTATTCTCGATGTAAAATGTTATGTGAAGGACTGATGATGAGAAAAAGGTATTTACTATAATAGAGTGATAAAATACAATAATCATGGTGATCAGTAGCAAAATATTGCAAAACAGTTGTTTAAAAGGACAAGAGATTAATTGTCTCCTTTGAAATGTGTATAGAACTATCAGAATCTATAATAAAGGTGTCCATAACGGCCCACAAAGTAATACTACATTTTGAGATGGCAAAAAGTATTTATGTCTCAGGAATAACGATTTAGGAAGTGTCTTTCCTACTAAACTACATAGTTTTATCGCTAATCTGTAATCGTCTTTTTGGAAGACACCATCAGCCTATATTTCATTAAATGACCTGCTAGAATTTCTTCGTAATTAACTAACCTCTTTACCTGGAATTCGGCTGGTTGTTATCCATAATTGTGTGGCCATTATTTGCACATTTATTTTAGTTGTTTTATCCCCTAACCTGATTTTTTGATCCCGTGGTTGTTAGTCCTTTTTCGTCTTGGTTAATAGACTGAATCAATTTCTGTGTCTACTGACTGATGATTGACTGGGTTGCCAGACTTCTAAAAATTGTGTGGTTTTCTTTGTGATTCATAGACCAAGTACAACTACGTCTTCCCGGTTGAACCCATTTCCATAAGTTCCCACACGCATTAATATAAGCAAGGGTGTTCAGTGTCGTTTAACAATTAGATGGCGTTTATATAAATGTAGCAGGTGAGAAAAACCATTTTGTGTTATGTTGAGCTTTTTTGCAGTTGATGCAGTTTATTTCGTGAATTATATTTGGTTTGTTTTCGTTTGTCACTGTATTTCTTGGCTTGAATGGTATAGACTGTATCGACTTCATCGAATTTTAAGCTACACCTAATCCTAGCAACGCTATTAACATGTTTGGCTTCTGGAAGATGTGCTTTGTCTTCTGATTTTAACTTTTAATTTTGTACTCGGTGATTGGTTTTAAAAAATTCCTTGATGAAGTTTCGTGGGTGATCACTTCTAAAAATACATCTGTTAGTTACCTCTTTTCAATTCTCCGTGTACTGAGGGTGCTGCGATTGCAGTGTACGAAAACTTAGATACGGTAGATCAATATATCATATCATGAAAAATTACACAGTGTCTTTATAAAATATGAAAATCGTACATCGGATAAATCATTTGTATATTTTCGCTGAGTTGCCCTTTGCGTACCCCATCCTTCTTTCAATTCTGTTGTTATTCCGATTGCTCTCTGTTTCCCTTCCTCTTATCTTCATTTCAATCTTCTTCTGGTAAGTGTTCCACTTCGAGTTCTTGCCACATATTTCTTAGGTCTGTTCTCATAAGCAGCGCACACCATAAAATGTGTTTCCCTGTTTTGAATTAAGTTTGTTCACAGTTTCTCATATTGTAGCGGTCATCAGAATCAATATTAGAAGACGCGGAACTCACTTATATATCAGCCTAATCCATACTGACCAAATAGTAAAATATAACAGTGACAACCTAATGACTCACAAACTCTATTCAGAACAGTGAAACACATTGCAGCACCTCCAGCACACGGAGAGCTCAACACGTCCAAGATTTCATTACTTGCAGCTCCGCCCCTAACATTAGTAAGAGGATAAAATCCTGCACTAGAATATGTCGTTTTGTTGAACCCATCGACCTAACGAAATTTATCGTATCACAATAAATTTACTGACATATATTTACTTGTGAAACATCAATTTATTAGCAAAGTGATGGTAAATTCTATTATAGAAACACAGACTAACCTGTTACAATAGATTTAAACATTTCTTTAAATGGAACAAAGTAGCTACTATTAGCCTGCTCTAAAATTTGCGCCATTTGTTTGACTTTTGGTGTACATAACTGAGAATAGATGTTTTCAAGATTTTCTACTTTCGCCTTCCAAAAGTCCAGTTCCACCAATGGAGTGGGATGTAATCCACTTAATAATGGTTGAGATGAGTCCCTTAGCAATACTTTGTGGATTTGATGTGACCAGTCAATGACAAGTGATTCGATAGCATATATAAAACTTCGATTAACCTTACTAGAGGATGAACAGTAAAAAAAACGGTAATTGATAGGTTCTTTTTAAACAAATGAGTTGATTTTTAACTGTAAGAAACAGTAGTTGAGGTCAATGACTATTTGAGTTAGTCTCTAATAAGTCGATGGTAACTGAATACTGGGGAATATGGTTCATTTAATCTAAAAGGACTTATTAAAACAAATAAATTAGTGAGGTATTTATGTAATACAACGGAAGTTTGGCTTCAATATAAAAGTTTGTAGGATTTTAGCAGATGGTAATTCAAACGCAAAAAACTTATTTATACTTTGTAAAACCCTTTTTAGTTCCACCTCTTTTAATTACATAGTGTTTTGCCGAATTTAATCACAAAATATTTGTGAGAATAAAAGCGTTCAACGGAACGGTAAAATAATGCACAAGTGCACGTAACTCAGTGTATTGGCGTTCTAGAGTGGAAGCCTTATATTTATGATTTACAACCGGAAGACAAAACAGTTTGTGCCTCAATGCAGATAATAATCTAAAATCTTGTAAAACAGAAAACCTTAATGAGTGTAGAATTTGAAACTGTTTGCGAATCTCCACGTCCCACTGACCATTTACTTACTGTTTTACACAAGAGAAAAAGAACAAACTACTGAGCTCACTTCATGACTTACTTTGGCAAATGAGGAAAAACGATAAATACTAGTCAAAATACACAAACAGTAACAACTAGCACGGCAGTGAAGGCATTTATTAAAGTATTTAAGTTAACATTTAGTCTAGTTGATGTAAGATACTTCTGGTTAAAAGTGAAAGTTGACAGACAGATACATAAAACAAAATATCTTCTCCAGGAGTGGACAAAATCAAGCCGCAGTAAAACATAAAATAGGGATAAAAATGAAGTAAAAAACACAGAACAATCAGTGTGAGTCGGTAGATATACATGTATTTTTCAACAACAGTGATAAATTATAGATTATAACATCTTCACCGTAAGTCAGTGTCAAATCACATTTGGTCGGTACTTAATAACTTTAGAGCCTTGTATGCATCGGTAAAGAATCTGATGCCTTAAACAACCCGACAAATGTGAAATTTATAGTTAACCACTACAGACAGTTAAAAATTTGATATGATTCTAGGTATAATATGTATAATATCACAAACTTTACTAATAGGTTCATTGGTTTGGAATAACATGACACCTTTGTAGTAAGGCTGTGATATTATCAAGTAATGTTTAATCGCTAATCATAAGACACATGCCGAATTCGCTCTGAGTTATGAATGAAATATTTTATATGCAATGAAAGAACACGACAACAAAAGCGCAAAAACGTCTAAGAGGCTTTCGTGATATATGTGAATAAAAAAAACTAAATTTGTGGTGCATATCAGATTACAACTGTAAGTAAAACGTAATATTTATCCGTAAATTGCTGTCAACTATCAATGTCGACTCAAAGATTATTCAGCCCTAAAAAATTTGGAACTTAATGGATATCGAAAAAGGTAAGGATACATAAATAAAAATTAAGTGAGCGGTATACCGTACAATAAATAGGTACTGCGCTACTACAGATCTCATCGCTTAAGAAAGGATTTAACGGCCAAAGCGCTGAGATTATGTTTTACATGCAGATAAAAATGAGATTTAATGAACAAATATCTACCCTTCTTTAACATGCTCCTTTAACCGCTCTTGTTCAATCGGCAGAGGTAAAAATGTCTTTCCTTTTGCCTGCCCAACGACAATATCCGTTTGCCTTTTCAGACCGTGTGCATATTTTATGACATCCTCATAAACAACAGATGGCCAAGAACTGTAGTTTTTCTTGTTAGACAAAACAGGGACAAGCACCTAAGAAATATGAACAGTTAGGATAGTTTACTTACTTCGTCAACGAACACCGAAAAATGATCCAAAGGACTGTATGAAAGATCACCGTAGAAGATATATTTTGTTATGACCCCATCTTTAGGAATAGCCTCTTTTGACTTCTTCATAAAAAAGCTAGCTTTGGACTTGGACCCAACAGGAAAATCATTTTCGGCCGTCAAAAAGCCACTCGGCATCAAAAGAATGAAAAGTTGTGTGACATCAGGTTTTTCAAAGAAATTGGTGATTTTTTGTTTAATATCATCGGTATTCCACAATTTCATCCACTTATCATTTTTAAGTTTATGTGACGTCAGAATATACTCAGCAATAAACTCTGCCCTTTTGTCATCTAATGCAAGTTCAGACATGGCTATATGTAGATAGTTTAAGGAATAAATTATATAATGAAAATACGAACTGTATTTTGCTTAAATGATCGCTTTTAAAAATTAGGGTCGTTGCTATGACAGTACAAATTGTTGTCGACTCATACAAACAAAACCATTCTGCGGACAAATTGATATTATATTTCAAAATATAATAAGAACAAAATAAAAACTTTGATTATAATGTCAAGACTTGGTTATATGTTTACCATACAATGGATACCATAGTAACTTAGAGTTCCTTTCACGTTGTGAATGCTACACATTCGAAATTCTCCTTTACATCTTGTTTCGATTCCCAGGTTTCTTAGTCTAACTGCTGTGCTATTTCTAAATTTTGTCATTCTCTTACACCATAAGTACAATTGGATTGCACGTTTTGTTTTTGTAATTGACTTCCATTCCATTCAGTTGTCTTCTGTCCCATATCGTCTTACTCATTGTGCTCTCCACACTACTCCATCACAAAACTTAACTTTAGGTTTGACACAAATCTACCTCACTCTGAACGTTAATGAAAATAAGGCACTGGATCTTTATCTTATTCCAGTTCTTCAGTGCATACGCACGTTCTGTTTATGCGTCCACATGTGACTTCGATAAAATCGACCTTTCAGACTTGCTAGGACTATGGGAATCGTCTTTAATGAATTATTAACAGTTTTATTATGAATTCGTGTAGTTGGGGTTAAATTGTTTCTGTAAGGCTGAGTATATGTAGCTGCAGTATACATAGCTGTTAACCTTCCACCAGATGTAACACTTTTAGGTTGCCTTAAAAATCTGTCAGGGATGCAGTAGAGGAACGATGGATTGGATGGGGTGAACTTAACCATATACTGTTTCTAACTGACTCTGGTTACTTTAAAAAACTAATAGTATTATTATTATAAATTGTCAGCGTGATTTATTTTTACATTTGGGCGAATGAATTATTCTCATGTTTTTAATCAACTCGTTACTTACATATCAAAGATTACGAGCATGTTACTCTGGTCGTTTTTATACACGTGTACATGGTAGTAAATGTTTGCCTATCCACTTCTTGTATTTATCAAATAATTCATAAAAAGTGAGTCACATTATTATTCACTAAGTTGGTGTATCACCGAAATCTATTTTTTTTCCATACATTCGTTGCACTTCTTATTGCATATCTGCAGTTCAGCATTAACATCGTCGTTTGATCCAAATGGAGTAAATAATGGCAAGTAAATGTTGCTTTACTAAGTCATTAATAAATTCTTGAGGTATAATAGGTAATATGTCAGGATAAAATTTGTGTCAGTGTATCGATAACAACTGGCAATTAGTTATATTTATCGATACTCAAACTGGTTGTGACAATTTTTAAAAACCTTGTTAGTTAAAGTAGCCAAGTGATATTTGTTTTATGAGTTGAAGGGCATTCTTAAAGATCAAATTCATCAACGCATCATTGAGGCTGCACTTTTTTCGACTAAAAACAAGGGGCTGAGTGATAATATTAGTCTTTTCCTGATAAACTACTGTCCATGTCTAGTCTTTACAATGAATCAACAACGATACTTTTTCTGGTATCATGTTTCAGGTGTCTGTTACTTGGCCACATACCTGTACTTTACTGAGATTAGTTTTATTGCTTGCTAGTAAGCATAGCCACTGTATCTTCTGGGTTATTCTAACCTGATTAGAATAAAAAAGGGAATGTGTCATGTTCAAAGTCATCCTCCACTATTTCTCATGTTCAGATTGTGTCCTAAGTTAACCTATGCATCTCTAGAATCTTACGTGAAGGCTATTTGGACTGTTTATAGCAGATTTGAGTCGGTTCTCAGAAATGAATTTACAGTATTCTACCGCATTTTTATTTCGACTACACTGTTTATGTAAATAAAAGTGTACGTGCTCTTGTCTAATTTCATAATACTTCTCAACTATCATAGTGTTCCGGAACTGAAGGCCAACGCAATGCTTTTCCAGATACGGTTCATTATGACCAGTTTGTATTTCTTTGTTTCTTGTCTTCTCTTTCTCAGCAGTTAGTAGACAACCTTTTGAAACGCGCTATGAGCAATCTAAAAGGGATATGTTTCTAATTATGATGCTTTCAGTCAATTTTTCTGGAAATCGGCTCATAGGTTGACACCGTATGGACTGCTTTTTAAAGATCGGGGTAAAGTTGGTATCTTTTCACTCCTTTAATAAAATACGCCCGGTTATTACAGTCGCTATATTACTACGAAGGCAGCATCTTTATATATTTAAAGCTATCTAACCAACACAAGGTGCAGCCTATCTGATCCTATTAAATTTCACGTGATTAAAGTATTTAGTACATCACCTCTGTCAAGATTTATAGAGAGCAGTCTATTTTTTTAAAAACTGATCTTACAGTTAATTCTCTTTAGCTAGCGAGTATCGTTTTTTCAGAATATATGACCATAGTCTCTTATATATACTGTTCATCTGTCACATGAATTTTTTCTCTTTTTTCGAGATCGATTGATAAGTTTTTGGCTATCAACCTGTGTAAAAGAAAGTCAATTAGTGTTGAGCATCGAATCATTGTGCCGATTCGGACCTTTTGGGCTTAAAAATAGTACTTTGGGTTGGAAATTTTAGACTGAACACCTTTTTATTTTAAGAGAATTAAATTAAAGATTTAGTGAATCTTCATGATCATTTTTGAAATAGTTTGAAGTTTATTTGTTTCAGTCTTACGGAGAAATAGATTCTTTTATAATTGATGACAGTAATTATGAGCAGCACGCAACGTGATTTATCCAATCAGTCTTTACATTCTGAAGTGAGACTCATAACATTTCGAACAAACAGATATTACTAGTAAAGCTACCTAGTTTGTGTCAGTCAGGGGTCTAAACGATTATAGTATTCGTGTTGATGAGTACCATAAAGTTAGCCAGATGGTCTGTTAGGAACCAGTTGACTGAGTACAAAACAAAGATAAGTATTGACTCGACGTTATGCTTTTTGGTGCATTTAGATTAATTTCATATGAAAGGTCGACATTCTGAAACTTTTTGGCATAAATTATTCATTCAAGTTTTCATTTTCATCCAGGACACATGCCAGTGAAAAGAAAAGTGAAACCACTTGGAATAGTTGGCGGGGCTAAAAACCTTTAGTTGAAATTGGTAGATTGAGCGGTTTTGTCAGAGTATTTACAAACGTGGAAATATAATTTCGGTTTTTTAGTTACTGAAATTCATTCTGTGATGTGAAATTTGACACCATCGAGAAATTAAGTATGGAAAATTAACCCACGTATATTTTTTGTTGATATTCATTCCGGACAATGTCAAGTAATGAACTTGAAGAGCAACTTAAGATCTCTAAAACCATTACAACCGTTTATGATGGCTGTCTTAAAGTCGTAACACGCCTTTCATCTGATTCTATTTCCTATATCTAAGAAGTTATGCTTGTTACTTAGTCAAGAGGTTTTGTGCTTGTTTTACAATAACCACTGGTATATGTATTTTTGGTTTTTAATATCTCAATGTAGAGTAACGAATTTTACTTTAATTGTATTGTTTCATGTATTTACTAAGAATTGACTTGAATTAGTTTTCAAGAACGTTTTATTCAATTTACATAAAACAGTGTTAAATTCCTTAAGATTTCTAATCTAGTGAGAACTTTGTAATAGGCATAATTTTTCTTAATTTTGGTGTCAGGTGTTAAATTACACCATGAGAGAAGGAGAAACAGCTAGCACCAGGTATGTTGTAGTTATTGGCTATCGCCAAAGTGTTCCAAGTTTGTGCTTAGATAATTGTCCAAGCTCTGAGGATGAACCATTGTATACTGTTGCCAAAGGAGGGGAATATTCCGCCCGCTCAGATTCAACAATCAGCTGGGGAACAGAATCGTCGGAAAACTCAAGTCGTAATTTGTTTATACGTCCAGCTGTATATCCACCTTGGGCAACACATCTGCCATTAGTAAGATATCATTTCGGTTGTTTACATTTCAGACTTCTTTCAACAACATGGAAAGCAGAGAAGTAGTACGCACTTCTGAGGTAGGTGGTTATTTAGTATTTAAGACATTCAAGAAAGGATAACGATGAAGATTTATCTTCGACACGTGGCGATATTACTCAGCGCATGTGTTCCGATCTCGAAAAACTGTGGCGAAAAGAATCAGCTTGTAAAGCCCCTGAATGCGAGGTAGACGACATTACATTTTTTCATAACTCAGTCGTAGAATACCACTCCAAGAAATCAAACATCACGTAGTTTCAGTAGTATGGTTACACCTAAGCAGTTGATTGACTACTCAATCCGTCAGGCACCAGGTCTTTCAAGGTATTAATTTATTCTTCTGTTTCTTAGTTACCTTTATTTTTCGGAACTTCATTTTACCCATGTAAGATAGGAGTTAAGTCATACTAGTTTTAGTGAATGCTGATAAAAGTAAGCATTTATCTGAGAAAGGATAACTTTAAAAGTCATTCAACGTTATTATCACTCAAGATGAATATATGAAACTGGAAGTCATGGAAAAATGCAATGAAATTAAAATTAACTAACCTTTATGGCTGCTCTTTAACTCCGTTTATTGGTAAGGATCTTTAAATCTAGAGTGACGTACGAGAATAAGTAATTTTTACAGCAATATCCTTAGTAATATATTTGGATTTACAATGTTTCTGTCTCAGAAATCAACTAGTACTTTCGTGTACAAGTGATTGTATGATAAGACTGAGGATTTGCAAAAGTAATTTTTCCAATGTAACTGCATTATTTGGATGTTAGTCGTAACAATACGCAAAAATAATCGTTCAATTTGCTAACTACACATTCAGTTTCTGGTCAAAGCGTTTGATAAACAACAGTGATATTTAGTTTAGAAAAGTCTTCATATCGTACGCAGTAATTAAGAGTTAGTTAGGGTCTATCGTGTTTTATTATAGATGTTGAACAAGATTTTAAGTTGCAGTAACTCTTCCTACATATCTTTCTCGTCTGTCTTTT